ATTAGTGTAATGTGTACATGTCCGTTTAGCAGGGTTCACCTGATCTTGACCTCATTTTCATGGTTCATTTGTCACAAACAAAGTCATGGCAAAAAAGGGGGAAAGACAAAAGACAAACAATTGTACACAAAACACAACTTAGAAACTAAGGACTGAGCAGCACGAATCCCACCAAAAACCGGGGGTGATCTCAAGTGCTCCTGAAAGGGTAAGCAGATCCTGCTCGACATGTTGCACCCGTCGTGTTGCTCATGTTAGTACAAACCCGGTGATAAGTCTGAATTCGGTAATGTGTACATGTCCGTTTAGCAGGGTTCACCTGACCTTGACCTCATTTTCGTGGTTCATTGTCAGAGGTCAACTATGTTTGGTGTGTGGGATAATTTTAAGGTGAACATATGTTGAAGGCCGTACCTTGACCTATAATGGTTTACCTTAATAAATTGTAACTTGGATGGAGAGTTGTCTCATTGGCACTCATACCACATCTTCCTATATCTATATATACATAAAATAAGGAGATGTGGTATATCCTTTTAGGGTTGATCTAACCTTGAAATAGGAGTTAAAGGACCATATTTTGACAAAAAGTTGGCTGTAATTTTATCTATTAGTATAAATTACATTTTGTTTTATTTTAAGGGGCGGGGCCAGGTGCGCCTGTTAAAGTAAGAGATGTAAGTCAACACTTTAAAAAACAATACGTAAACAAAACACGTAAAACGATGCACAATACAGTAAAAGTTAATTAATAGTACTTGTTTGGTACATGAAATTGGACTTTCTAGAGACAAACACACTTTGTCATGCTAATATACATTGATATGATTGCTATTATGTCGCCCATCAGACTTAGAATATTTAGTTAAGGAACATTTGCGTATCATCGTCAAAAATATTTTTTAGAACGGCAAAAATGTATGAACACAACAACAACAAAAAGGTTAACGGTAGTCAGTCTATTTACTGACCCGTCCGGTTGGAATTCGGACATTTGATCCGATTCCCAGTGTAACGATAGTGACACGCTTTCTGCACTTTAAGGTCTCTTGCAACACTGAGGGGTTCGTACGTGGAAAGTTGCATTTGTTTTAAATATGCATGAAATGATTATTTCTGGACATCAAGCAAGCAAGCAACAATCAATTAATCTATGTAAACTGACAATAGATAAACAGTTAAAGATCATCCAAACAAGTGAAATGATTTAATATCTATTACTATGATTGTATACAGGGATGAACAATAGTAAACACAAGTCTTTTCTATAGCTTAGAAAACAATTGTCAAGAGTTATGATAATGATAATAAACACAGGTGTGTTATCATATAACAAACATCCAGGTTAAAGATATGATAACAAATAAATAATCGCATATTTCAATGATGACCTAAGTGAACTCTAAATCTGATATGTAAAAAGGATATTTAGATAGGCCATGATATAGACCAATCTTAAATATAATTCGACCCTATACATGGCTTGTTCAAATATTGGCGGCAAACTTTACATGTCTTTGTTATTCAAGTCGAAGGACGTTTGGATTATCAACGATTCTTCGTATCGCATAGCTTGACTTCTGAAATAATCTTAATTTTGCCGGTTTCAAAATGTCCTTTCTGTTCATTGTTTTAGGTAAATACCTCAAAGATGTAAGGACCAATTTCCACTTTTATTCACTCACGTGATCAAAGTCTTAAGTTGTCAAATCCTACTGGAAATTGAATATTAGAGTCTATATAATACACTTAAAATATTGTTTCAGAATATTACATATTGCCATAAAATCAAAATTCAGGCATTTTGATATAGAATTAGCATTTTATTATAAAATTGCAAATTTTACATGTTTTTGTAAAACTTTGCATCGAAGGACATCGCTAATCACAATGAATTAATGTGTATCCGAAAGACAGTACATAATTTTTCTTTCAATATAATTTTAGTGTTGGTTAACGATGTTCTTGTACAGTTTTCAAATGAATACTCATAATTTGACAAAACCTCTCAAAATTGCGGTTTTGGGAATTCTTCATGCGTTCATAATTTGATGTATGGTTTAGAAATAAGCCGAAATATAATCTTACATTACACACATTTGGCTGTGATACTATGAATTTAAGAAAATATTGAAAGACTTTTTGAAAATGGCCCTGGTATAAAACAAATACAGGGGGGATTGGCCCTGCTCCTTTGCTAAAATATATTAGAATAGGAGTGCTGTGTCACTCAAGAGCATTCATTATTTGGATGCATATTAAAAACAATTGTGTTTTATGTGGGAGAACCACAAAGTACATACTTGAAGCTATGAAATTGCGAATTCTAGTTAATTCAAAGACTTTTTGCAAATGACCCTTCTAGTTTCATTAGTATGCTGTGATAGGAGAGCTTGGTGGATTCCCTTTATATTTTTCAGTTGTATTATCAATGCTGAAATATTGGTTTAGAATAAAAAATATGAAAGATGGTTTACTGTATGATACCTATATGTGTAACAAAAACATGTTTAATAATAATATGCTGGTATTCATTCATACATTACATTTTTAAAAAGCTGAATATTCATAATTTGGAGGTAAAGCTCAACTTTTTTATCAAGTCAGTTAAGCAAAAACTTTGTAATAGTTTTGTAAAATTTTGGAACACAAAAAGAAGAGATACAAAGAGTAGTAAATTAGATACTTATTTCAAACTTAAAACTTGTTTTTCGAAAGAAATGTATCTATCTTTAAACAATTTTCAATTGAGAAGTTCCATATGTAAAATCAGAATCAGTGCACATGATCTCAAAATAGAAAGAGACAGGTATAAAACTTTATATATAGAAAGAGACCAAAGGCTTTGTAAGAAATGTACTCTAAATCTGGTTGAAGATGAACAACATTTTATTACTAGTTGTCCAGCATACAATAATGATAGGGAGATATTTTTCAAGGAGATAAACTGTATCTGTCCCAATTTTATATATCTTTCAAATGAGGCAAAATTTGTTTGGTTATTTACTAATGAAAATTTGTCTATACTTAAATATTTAGGGAGCTATATTATTACATGTCTAGATGTTAGACGAAATGTTAATTAATGTATGTAATAACAATGATAACTGTAATGATTTTATAGTTCTGATCCTGCCTGGAATTAAATGTATGTGATTTTTATAGAATGAAGATAATAACATCTGTCTGAACTTTTTAATGTTTCATTTTAATATATAAAAATGTTTTTCTGTTACAAATCATGATGTATTGTTTTATGTGTACAAGTTATGCTGCCCATCAAGGGCCCTTGATTGGAATAATAAATATTCTCTTATTCTTATTCTATGCTTTACGATGGATAAATGCTGGTAATACTGGATAATCATCCAAACGTGTGAAAGGATTAATAACTATTATTATTATTGAACAGGGATGGACAATCTTCCACAAGAAAACAGTTTTCGAGTGTTATTGTTCAAAGTTAAAAGGTATAACTGTACAATCATTCTAGCACGTCTATTTGATTCCAGAATGATTGTAACGATACACATTTTAACCTTTCAAACGACTTCTTTTGACACACACCCATATATACAGTTACAAAATAACAACTTTTATCGAGTCTATATTCTGTACTATAACATTAAAATAGTGACGTTTACAATGCATGTTACATATCATTTCCTGGGAATTTGCATACTAGTATTATGGTTCATTTGAAAATGAGAAAAAACGATTAATTTAGAGAATTTTTGATATAAAAAAATATTTTCTGATTTTAAAAAATCGATTTTTTGATATCAATAAATCAATTTTTTTGATATGAAAAAAAAATATTTTCTGATATAAAAAAATAGAATTCCTGATATCAAAAATTCAAATTCTTGATATAAAAAAATCTTATTTTGATATCAGAAAATAGTCTTCACTTTTTTTATATAAAAAAATAGAAATTTTGATATCAAGAATTCTATTTTTTTTATATCACAAATTCTTATATAAAAAAAATAAGGAATAAATAGTAAAAATAATTAAATTGAAGAGAATGCATTAGTGATACATTATTTATTTCCGATCAGATCTATAGGTTTAGTCATATATTTCCGTCTTGGCGCAACGTATTCATCAAACAAAAATATGTGTTCGTGAAATATATATTTGCAAAATATAAATTATATTCAAATAAGTTCCAAGCAATGGGAGGGTTGAGCGCTCTCAAACATGTTCAATTCCCACCCAACCCCACACATTTGTCAAGTGCTTGTCCCAAGTCAGGAACATGTAATTCAATGGTTCTCGTTGGTTACTGTCTGTCATACTCGTTTATAATTTTAGTATTGGCAATCATGTGATATCTCCTTATAGTACAACTGATTTTGTTGGATTGTAGGGCTGTAGTGTCCATTTTCACAATGTTTCAGCAAAATATGTGCTAGATTATTACGCGCGTCTGGCTTATTAAATTATAATCCTGGTACCTTTGATAACTATTTATTTCTATTTCCTCAACATTGGCCTCAACCCAGAGCTCTAGCCTCAACCTGATGAGGTTCTTGTTTTTAAAGAAATCTGACATTCTGAACACATATTTCCTGAGGAAAGTTGCATTTTCAAAGAGAGCTATTTTTTCGAGTAAATACGTACATGACGAAAGAATATTTAACTTTTATTGCTGTTCCTTATCACAGAATTACAATATCAATTCTGACAAAACTTATATATTTAAATTTATTATAGGCATTATTTTAAAAGAACAATTTAATTAGGAAATAACTGTAAAACTTAATCCTATGTATCTTGTCGCTATTCAAAGTTAAATCCTACATGGTTACACTAAGGTGCGGCGTCTCTATTTCATTTGCTATTTGCTGTGGTTAATGTAGTATAATATAATGAAAGGATCGGAACATGTATGGCGTTGACAGCTACCGTCTGGTGATTGGGTGTACGTATGGTTCGATAACATCCCTTTTTATTACAAAGTTATTCTCCTTTTATAGCAATTAAACAGCCAAAGAACGATAACTACACTGCGAATAGGACTCCAAAATAGTTATCAACAATTTAACAACTGATGAAAATGAATATTATATATCTTCTTATGTCATTTCTTTGGTTTTCTATGGATATAGTAGTTGGCAATAGACAACACGAAACGAAGAGAAAGTTTCCAAGTAAGTAGTTTCACAAATCAAAAAAAAATAAAGAAAAATCTGTTGAAAATATGACAAACCAAGAATTTTTTTCGATGTGCAACAAATTTTATTTACAATTTAAAAAACTTGATGATACCTTACTTATGAAGGTACTAAGTGAAAATATGATGTCTTACGTATTTGATTTGTATATTCAATATGAAGACTTTGTTTTAATTCAAGATTACGCGACAAAGGCGCATAACCAACTTTGCTTTATCGGGATGAAGGAATTTCAGCAGTATTTCCATACGCCTAATGTTTTTATCATATTTTTGCACTATTTTTCTACATGAAATAATGTTTGATACCTGTACGTATGTTGAACTTGCTATGTTTTGTCATACATCATTTGAAAACAGTTTGTATGGTTTTCTATCATGGAAGCATCAGCATTGAAGTAATAAAATCGTTGATTACGTTATTTGAAAGTAATTGTTTCTTGGTTTTTTGGGGTACGGTTTGTCCCGTCAGCTGATGAAACTGATGGATTTATGTTTAACGTCAAGTGGCAAGTATTACATGGAATAAACATGTTCTGGTCTTGACATGCATGATGATGCATGACCAGGACGATAACATGTTAATGTTTCTAGCCCGACATGCCGGTCCTGACCTTTAATGTGCTATTTTACAATGTAGCAGTCCTCAAGTAGAAATGTTCCCCTATCCGGTCACATTGTTCATTATTCCCAGTCTTTGCTATTACTCATATATGACCCGTGTTTAGTGGAGAAGGTGCAAAGATCAAGGTCACCTTGTCCAAAGCTACGCAGGGAGACTGTGCTCGGCATCATGCGGGGAAAACACAGATTTTCCCTTTCCCTTCAAACAAGATTGGTCAGTAAAAATCGTCAAATATCTAATTGTTTAGGCCGTTTTAATTAATAAAAAGTCTTGAACTGAATGCACATTGACAGGACCAAGTTTGCATAAACTATCTGTACAAGATATGGAAGAACACTCACACAATGCTTCAGGGCTTCCTTAAATTTTAGATTTGCATTGGATTTCTACCTGTTTGAGCGTATGACAGGATTTCTGCCTGTTTGAGCGTATGACAGGATTTTTGCCTGTTTGAGCGTATGACAGGTCATGTTTCGTAAGATAGGTTGTCCAACTGTTCACTAACAACTAGTTCATTGCAAGCAAAACTGTTTTGTCAATTAAAATGTTATAATTTTACATTTTTCTAAAAACAAAATGGTTGCAACTTTGGGGACGTTGATTCGTGTGTGACAAGGGGACTGTGAGTGTTATGTTAATTTGGTCCAAATGGATCTATAATAGTCTTATTACATTTATAAATTACGCATTTTACTTTATTCAACATCGATTATGTCATATAAATAAGAAGATGTGGCATGAGTGCCAATGAGACAACTCTCCATCCAAGTCACAATGTGTAACAAGTAAACAATTATAGGTTAAAGTACGGCCTGCAACACAGAGCCTTGGCTCACACCGAACAGCAAGCTGTAAAGGGCCCCAAAATAACTAGTGTAAAACAATTCAAACAGAAAAACCAACGGTCTAATCTATATAAAAAACGAGAAACAAAAAACACTTATGAACCACATCAACAAACGACAACCACTGAACAACAGGCTCCTGACTTAGGACAGGTGCATACAAATACGTCAGTAGGATAGTTATGATTTAAACTTATAATAAATATGTATCATATTATATATAGATAAATCAATCTCTAAATAGAAAATGAACGTGGATGTGTATTTATACATCCCAAAAAAACATTCGAAGAGAATACAAATTTAGTTATGTTTTAATTTGTTGATGACAAGATCGATGTTAGTGCCAATGTAACCAATATACAAAGATCTTTTTACAACATTAATAAGATAACCTTTACTATAAGTTTGTTTAAAGGTTCGATGAGTTTACACGGATCACATAGTGATTTCCGCGCTTTTAGTACAATATTACCGTAAAATTTAGAATGTGAAATACCGTTTTTAATAAGTTTTCTACAGTACTAATTAAATCTTTGTATCTATGAAAGAATTTAGTAAATGTTTTAAGTAATTTATGGTAACGAAATCCCTGACTTAATAATTTACCAGTGATGCATTGCTTACGTTCGTTAAAATCTATGACATCACTACACACACGGGCATAACGAACGAGTTGGGATATATAAACACCGTATGATGGAGCCAAATTGTCTCTTTCATCGTAAATTTTAGTATGGTGTTTCCCTTTAGAAATTGAAATGTCTAAATCTAGAAAAGGACAAATACTGCTGATTATGTTAGATTTATTTAAAGTAAGTTCCTTTGGGTAAATTTCGGTAGTATATTTATTTTTTTTTTTTTTTTTTTTTTTTTTTTTTACAGCACTGGGTCTATACTTCTGCTGGTGGACTATCAGTCCCCGAGGGTATCATTAGCTCAGTAGTCAGTACTCTGGTACTGACATGATTAATAACAAACCTCTCTAAATTTGCCCGTTTATAAATTTTGAAATTATAAAGAAACTAAGGTTTCAACTCCCTCAGGCAAAGTTGGCCTTAGAAGGATTTGGCAATTATTTTAGGTCATTTTTGATTATATAGCTCTTCAACTGTTTCGGATATATACATCCTTGGCTTTCAAATATTCGGCTTTGAGCGTTCCTGATGAAGGTAAATCTGAAAAAGCTCTTCGGACGCATCAAATTTATAACGTGTTGTTTCATTTTTTTTAATGAACTCTGGATTATTTAACGAAAAAATATCATCAGGATAACGGTAGGTAATGTTGAATGTGTCAACCAAATGTAACAATGACGTGTCTTTACTGAGTTTTGCCATAAACTGTGATTTATAGCAATACAGTCGAAAACAAACTGATAGTTAAGCAAACTTGGTCCTGTGAATGTGCATTATGCGCAATACTTTTCATTCAGTGCAACGGCCTACATAATTCGATATTTGACGATTTTTCAAACCTATCTTGTTCAAAGCAACACAATATGCTGTCCGCGTATGATGCCAAGCACAATCCCCATATGTGGCCATTGAATGGTTAGAAAGGGCTGGGACAAAACCATTGACTTCCCGCATTCGAGTCGAGCACGAAACCAGCGAGACGGTTAATTCACTTGAAACTAATAGGGTCTTCGTAGGTGATTTGTGAGACTGCACAATCATAACTAACTGCGGAACCGTAACTCTAATGGCCCCTATGATATTTTTGACACTTTGCGTAACATCAAAAAATATCATAAGGACCATAAGAGCTACGGTTCCGCAGCCAAATCACAACAATTAAAAACCAAACCAAAGGTTGTCTTAGATGTGAATAATTAAATAGAGGTGGAACGTCAATGGGACAGTAGCAAATTTAACAGTCAAGGGCTCATGGTTCGGCTTCTGACTTCGAACAGACAAACACATTTTTGTTTCCGTAAAGTTTGTATGTCTGTAGATTTTTAAGCCTTCAGCCCATTCGATTTTGCAATTAAGTCCTATGCCAACTAGAATTTCATTTGCATTAATAAAAATGATAATCACATTTAAATAAATCATTTTTAGATGTAAATTGTAGATGTGTAAGAGTTTTCAGTAATGCAAGCCAAAGTCCAAGTCCGTCTGACACACACTTAAAGTTTATGGAAGGACGTCTCAACCTAAGTAAAGTTTCTTATAATCTTCATTTGTAAATTTGTAGATAACAGATTGTCAAGTTATCTATCCAAAGGAGGGCGTCTTCGTGTACATCATCATCGATTCCCAAAACACATGGTCGACGAAGACTTGCTTGAGTATAAACCTGGGAGTAGGACTGGTGATATTCAAGGAGATGGAACACCACCCGGGAACATTCTGGACAATCCAGGTATCATTTGATCCCTTATTCCAAACTTTTTTGTACATCCTTGTAAAATATTGTACATCGACAGTGTTAAATTCAGTGCATCGATTGTGCATCGACAGTGTTAAATACTGTACATCGATTTCAATAAGCGCTACCATAGACGAGATTTAAAGCCAACAACATCATAACCAAAAAGAACCATAAACAGAGAACCTAAATAATCTGATGTCAACTAAGTCCTTTAGAGTTACAACCTTGATTTTAGTACAATTGTATGGTTTATTAACTAAAACTTTTGAATCAAATATGATACCAATATCAGCAATATAGCGACTCGTGAATAATACGCTATAGTGCTATAAGAGACGTATGCATAAACTTTGAAAAAAAATATACCGTACTTTTTAGCTTGCTGTGCGGTGAGATGTCCATTAAATAAGACCCACAACTCATGAACTTCTTTTAAAGGTACCTGTACCAATCCATTGCCATTGTATTGCATATCGTGTATTATTGAAGTAAGATTTGTCAATTTTATTTGAAAACTTGGAAGTAAATTGGCTGTATATCTCAGCATCATGCCTACTGTCAACAGTCAACTCATTTTCAATAATGTTGATCATAATGTATTTTAATCATCACTACTATACACATAATCAGAATAGTTTACTTTGTCAACCACTTCTATCTTGAACGAGTGATAAATATTTTCAGACTAGATATTTTATTATTTCAGATAGCAACATCCAGAGAGAAATCTGCTGTACTCTAGGCAGAGCAAGTTCTACCAGACGAAGCAGTTGTAGCTCAAGGGTGTATGTTCGTCTTGTCAAACAAAATCTACGACTCAAACTTACATCAGAACAATTAGGTCTGCAACAAAAGATCACAGATGTGGACCAGTATAAATGTGTACTTCAACATAAAAGTAGTTTTGAAAGATGTTGTCTTGCATCAAAGAATAGTCAGAATAATAAACTAACAAGACAACAACAAAGGACAATAAACAGAAGGCGGCATAGACATCATGGGAACTCCTGAGTCTGATGCGGTATTCTTTTTACTAATGTGTTCAGAAATTCCGGTCTTCATATGTGCATAATAATTCATCATTGAACTGTCATTTTCATTTAGTTAATTTATTTGTGTATGTATGTAATTATTTGCTTATTTTGATAATAGAAATAATTGTTTACCTGGTATTATTGAGATGTCTCTTTAAAATATCTGAGGCATACAAGTCATGAATCTTTGTTTATAAAAATAAGAAGATGTGGTAAGATTGCCAATGAGACAACTTTCCACAAGAGACCAAATGACACAGAAATTAACAACTATAGGCAGTGGCGGATCCAGGGAGGAGGGGTTCCGGGGGTTGGAACCCCCCTTTTTTACGATCAATGCTTTTGAATGGGGACACATGGTTGGAACCCCCCCCCCCCCCCCCCCCCTTGTTAAAAATGGCTGAGTCCGCACCTGTATAGGTCACCGTACGGCCCTTTTAATGTACCCCGATTAGATCCGAAGTAAAACTAAGTTACAAAATGACAGACTTCGTTGATTCCAGGCCAAGACATCAGATTAAGTGTTGACAGGTAACAATATAATACAGTTATTCCTTCTTCGTCTTAGGCAACACAATGATTGATATCAGGTCCATACATCAGATTTAGTATTGACAGGGAACAATCTTATAGATACCGATATTCCTTCGTCGTCTTATCCGGCCAAAAATGATATCAGGCTCAGATATTAGATTAAGTATTGGTAGTGAACTATCCTATAGTTATTCCTCCATCGACTGATCAGGCAAAATAATGTTGTTATCAGGCCCAGTCATCAGATTTAGTATTAGCCTTGAACCATTTAATAATATTTTGTTCATCGGCTTGTTCGGTAGAGGAATATTGATATCAGGCCCAGGCATTAGATTAAGTATTGGCAGATAACTATTGCTTCTTATAATTTTCAAGATTGCACAATTTAAAGTCTTGTGAATTACTTACCATCCTTTCTGTTTGTACAATACCTTGTTTCATACATGTCACTTTCTTCGTATGGGTTTACAAGCACACATATATAAAAAAAAAGAGGCAGAAAATACCAGAGACAACAAAAAGTCGAAGTACAGACAATACGATTGCAAAATAGAAAAAAAACGACTAGAAGACAAACAATAGTGTATAAAACACTTAGCCAAAAACTCGAAGATTGATCAATATGCACCCACTAAAAATCGTGGGTGATCTAAGGTGGATAGTTGTCTCATTTGCAATCATACTATGTCTCCTGCTGCAATCATCAACATAAGTAACCACTCTCAATAAAACTGTCTTTTTGTCTGAAACGCAAAGCAATAGTGTACAACTATGCAAAAAAAAAAAAACAAAGACTGAACAGTATGAACCCCGCTACTCCGGAAGAGTGAACATATCCTGCTCCCCTATTGGCATCCGTCGTTTTGCTCATGACAGTTACACATTCAGTGATAAGAAGAGGCTTTCGGTGATGTCTCAATCGAGGAAAAAAGGACAGGATTGTGGCTATGAGAATTGGATGATAAGTTGTCTGTTGTTAGCTGAGATGATATAGTGGTAACCTTCAAAAGCCTCATTAATGTCTAATTCGCAAAAAAAAAAACTGATCAGACCGGCTCAAAGTCTCAAAACCTTGTATAATTTATTGAAAGGACATCGTTTTAAAACGGGACATGGGAGCAAAGGTTTTTTCATTTTTCTCGAGAAGTTTCTGTATTATGTATATCTCATAAAAAAACAAAGGAAAAATTGACAATAAGAGTCCAAATGTAACAAATTTGTTGCAAAAAAAAAGTTTAGTTTTTTTCTTCACAAAATATAGGTCTGAGTATTGAAACCTTGCTAGATATGTAGCATAATTATCACAGAATATGCAATTTGGTTCTACCAGTAATGATTTATCATTTGACTTTCATATTTGGTGTGGGTCAATACGACCTTTTCATCTTCGATTTATTATATCATTGCTGTGCTTCATGGTTTTTTAAAGTGACCTGGGTGCAATAGTAAAACAAAATCTTTAGCATTCTAATGTATGTTTGTTGCTTTTCTCTTTTTACAGAGAGTCAAATTCCCATTTGTCCCAACTATTTCGGACTCGACCCCGATGCTTTAGTCGGCAGTTTATTGTCTTTAAAACTGTCGTTACATTACCTGGCTTACAAAAGTCAAAGACAATACAGAGTGCTTGAAATTCATCTTCCCGGAGTATCGGATCCTTCAATATATCTTTAACATGTTCTGTTACCTCTACTGTTATTAAAATAAAGCTTGCTTTAAGACCATGCTTTTAAATTATTCCCAAGGTGATGCTAGATCTTTTGACTTATATTTTTTTGTCCCGAATGCGTATTCAGTGGAATTTTTAGTACCATTATACCTCATCAAGGCAAAGGGCAATTGGAAAAGTGATGCCTTCAAAAGTTATCTTGACCCTTCCTTTTCTCATAAACGACGGACTCGAATGCGCAAACCTTTCTACTTCTACTCAGGTTTGTTGTTACTTTAGAGTACAATTTTTCAACTTGATTTGACTTTGTTGGGTCGGCACTATAACTTCTCGGATGACAAACAATACTTCCTGGAACCACTGGCCTCATATTGATAGTGTTCATACAGTTTAATTGAGGTCTGGAGCATGTCAGTAACTGCTAGTAGTCCTTTATTAATTTATGTATCATTGTCATTTTGCTTAGTTTCTTTTGTTAACTATTCTGACAGCGGACTCGGACTTCTTTTAAACTGAGTTTTACTGTGCGTATTGCTGTGTGTTTGTTTTTTCTACATTGGCTAGAGGTATAGGGGGAGGGTTGAGATCTCAAAAAACATGTTTAACACCGCCGCATTTTTGCGGCTGTCCAAAGTCAGGAGCTCTCTGTCCTTTGCTAGTCTTGTATGTTTTTTAATTTTAGTTCATTTATATGTTTTGGAGTTTAGTGTGACGTCCATTTTCATTGAACTAGTACACATTTTTGTTTAGGGGCCAGCTGAAGCCCGCCTCCGGGTGCGGGATTTTCTCGCTGTGTTGAAAGACCCATTGGTGGCCTTCGGTTGTTTTCTGCTCTTTGGTCGGGTTGTTGTCTCTTTGACACATTCCCCATTTCCATTCTCACTTTTATACAGGGATGAACCTTTAGTGAGCATGTTCATATAACCACAATATAAGAGAGAAAACGCTTATAGTGCCTGATGGCGTACCTTTTCTGTTTACTTGAGGTATAATGATTCTTTTATTATGATATAAGGCAGTAATAGTGTCTCTTACATTCTGTTCTAGTAACTATGACCTTGACCTAAAACAAAGTAACTCTTCAAAATCAAAAGGGATCTTTCCTTATGATACGTTACCACATATCCAAGCGAGGTTGCAGTTCCATATGCTATATTTGATTTATCATCTGGAAACAAAATTTTGGTATAAATTCCTTCTTGTTTTAATAACTTTGACCTTGACCTTCGACATGGTGACCTAAACAGATAGGCATTTCCCTCTCATTAAAGGTGATCAAATACCCAACTAAGGTTGTAATCCCGTTTGTAGTATTTGATTTAGCAAATAGAAACCACTTTTCTGCACAAATTTTAGTAACTTTGATCTTGACTGCAGACATATCGATCTCACCATCAATAGGGATCTTCTTCGACCATATATCAAATAAGAGTTACATTCCCATGAGTGGTATTTGATTTAGCAATCCAGAAACCACCTTTTTTTTTAATCAAATTTCGATCTATTTTCAGTCACTATGACCTTGACCTTTGAGGTACTAGTATTGACCCCAAAATATGTAGGGATATTTCTCTCATTATATATTCAAAGTTGTTATCCCATATGTAGTATTTGATTTAGCTGGTCATATTTCAGAAAGATTACAATCAGATTTAAAGTATTTGAGTTAGCATCGAGAAACGAAAATGACTGACGGACGAACAGATAAAAAATGATATCCTCCCCTTATTACTTTGTAGTGTGGGGTACAATAATTAAAATTCCTTATATGGACAGTATTCTAGTTTAAATACTTTGTGTCCATCATCTGTTGCTGATCTGTCCCTGGTTCATACATTTTTCAAATGTGATCACCTTTGACACAACTGGGCCAATGAGAGCCACAGATTTATTCAGGTGTTTCTATATTTGAAATTTGCATCCTATGACCTGCATGACAACCACATGGCTACAATTACTATAAACAGTACATATGAAGTACAACAAATTGTATCTTTCTGTGGCCATTACCTAACAGTATTCTTCTATGCTGTCAGCTGTATTTGCTTAATATATCAAGTAAACATTTGGGGCTCTGTGTTGAAGGCCGTACTTTGACCTATAATTGTTTACTTTTTACAATGTGACTTGGATGGAGAGTTGTCTCACTGGCACTCATACCACATCTTCTTATTTATATTTGGTATGTTATTGCATGGAGAAGTTTTAGTTAGTTGATTTTTCTCTAGTTGACTTACTTCTGATCTTAATCATGTTAATATGGGCTTGAGACCTGGAGAACTTTGAACATTGCAGATATTAATATATGCTGACATTTTCTTTTTAGATGCTTATGTGAGCTTTGTTCCAGTTAATATACTTTTGATAGAATTAACACTATTGGGCTGTCAGGAAGATATGAAGTTTTTCGCTCTGCTTTATGAGATATTTGGCACTTGTTTGCACGTAATTTAAAGGTTGCACTTTGTAAATACAGCTGTTTCACAAGCCACACCTCTTTTGGGGAGATATATAATATTCATAGATATTTTGATTTGTACTGGTTCCCAGATATGATCTCTATGTTTCATCTCATAGAGAAATAACTTGGGAATGTTACCAGTATAAAAAAACATTGAAGTGGTGATAATTGAAATCTCAGAAAGACCCAAAATGAAGGTAGGGGTAGTACAGAATTTTAGTTTAAGTTCAAACTCTTATAAGTTCGGGGCATCTAAATGTTGAAAATATGCCGCATAGCCCTATGTTTTGACCTTTGAATAAAAAAGTAGTGCATATCAACTTTCCATTCTAGGATATAATTTTTTACGAAACTTCGTAGTAAAAGTGGCACAGCTTTAGCCGCAAAGTGAGTTCCAATGGGAAATTGCATTGTCTATATTTACAGAAGTGCAACCTAAAATGTGTAATGAGTTTGTACAAAGTTTAAATATTTAATCAAATTGCAGACTCTTTGAAGTGTTGTTGTCATATATAGGTATTTTAAGTTTTGCAATAGTTTGCATTAATTGACAACCCTGCACTTCAGGACACTCTATCAAAAAGAAACACAACCGTGTTGGTTCAACAATTGGAGTTATAGAAGTTTAAATATTGTTAATCTACTGTTTACCTTATTATAGTTTCGACTGCAATGGGGCTAAAATGGTTGCATGCAACAGTTAACAGTGTTGTTCAGTGTTAGTTTTTCTGAAGAAGTATGCAGCTGTGTATGGGGAAATTCCTGCCAAAATATATTCCTAAAAGCTGTTCAGAAATGGTTTTACTGTATTTTTAGACTTTTTCAACCTAAAGAAATGTCTTTTTAGTGATATTTGTGTACTTCAAAAGCCCTTTTAACTTTGGTTTCACCATATCCATTATGAAATTTGAAGGTAACTTATTATTGTACATAGTTGCCAAGTGACTGATAGAAGCTCCTTGGACCCTTTAGTTGTTGCATATAAGTCTGTCCATATCAAAAGTAAGATACAATAAAATAATTCTTCCAAAGCCAAATTTCAAATCATTTTGCAGAAAAACTACTTTGTAAAAAAAATCCTTTTATTAATAGGCATTTTATCACATTAATATAAGGTAATACATTTATAGTTCCTAGACGAATATCAATTTTTTAAACAACCTTGAAGATAGTAATTGGGGATGAAGTAACGTAAAGTAAAATAAGGATAAGACAATTTAAAACATTTTAAATGCAGATTCTCTTGTAAAGTAATCTTAGCTACTTAAATGTAGATTATCTTGTTATGTAATCTTAGCTACTTAAATGCAGATTCTCTTGTTATGTAATCTTAACTCCTTAAATGCAGATTCTCAAGTAATGTAATCTTAGCTACTTAAATGCAGATTCTCTTGTTATGTAATCTTAGCTACTTCAATGCAGATTCTCAAGTAATGTAATCTTAGCTACTTAAATGCAGATTCTCTTGTTATGTAATCTTAGCTACTTAAATGCAGATTCTCATATAAAGTAATCCTAGCTACTCAAAATGTATGTAATTCATGTTTTTTTTCTTCCTTTTTTTTTACAAATTTGTATTAAAAGAAGCAAAAGTTCTAGATAAAAACATCTGTTGAAAAAATAATGAAATTTTAGGATACAATATACCAACATTAAATTTATTTCAACCAAACCTTTTATGCAATACAAATAAACTTTATAATTTAACAAGTATAAATATACATGGATAACAGAAGAAATATTAAAAAAAATATCTTATTTGAATATTCAAAGATTAGCAGGCCTGTAATTTAGTTTTCAAATATTGTAAATGATTGAAAACAACAAATAATTAACAATCACTTACTCTTTTGTTTCTGAAAAAAGTTACTGCAGAAAAATGTGTCCATAGGACATAAATAATCTCTGTCACAGTCAATATAAAATATCTGAACATGCATAAAACAGCAGAAAAAACTCAACAAAATTAAAAACAAGCAAATGTTCTAATGCTTTTAACTTGGACAATATAATTTTTGTACAGTAAACATGTCAGAAATAATGAAAAAATAAAATCACTGAATGGTCCCTCAAACTTTTTACAAAGGGACATAACTCAATGACAGATATATATATATATATATATATAAACAGAATATCTTAAAGAATTAGGTTAAGGCACACAAGACTCTCTTAGTGTTTAAAGTTAATAGCATAATAAAGTTAATTTCAAGAGTTTTGACTTTGTCATTATCAAATCATTAGCAATAAATAAAAATAAATGAACCAAAGCAAAACTAATCTTTCCCAATTGACTATGAAAGATGCATAAAAACATGTTGTAAAACAATCACAGTTCTTTATATAATATTCACCTAAAACAAGTATACAATATTCTCTTAAAAATAAATCATTCCATCCAAAGATAACATAATTTTACATTTTCTCTTCCATAAAATATTGTCCTAATACTATTTCTTAAAGATCATTAGATGAGTTAATAAATAAATAGAGGTCATGTGAGAAAAACTCACAAAATGATAACGGAAAAGTCAATACTTAGGGAAACCCCAATAATAATTTGAATGAAAACAATAGAATATGTGTAATGACATAATACATGATATAAAGATTTTGAGAAAGTTTCAATAAGTTCTAATAAAGAGGTTTAGTTTTCCTTGTCATGCCAAAGTAAACCCCTTAAATCCTCTAGATGGATTGATGATTTTGTTGAAGCATAGTTTACTGTAGTTATTTACATATTCTTCAGGCATGACTCTGAAACCACAAATGTCAAAGATTTTACAAGGATCCAACTTAAAAAGTCTTTAGTAGTTCATAACTTTTTGGTGAACATTTCAAATGTGTTTGTTGAAGAAGACATAAGGTTTCTAAAATAATTATGTGTAGTTTTCATTTATACAAGATCCAATAGAACTTCCGTGAACTCATAACATCCTGTGAAATCACACTCTCAAATTGAAAAAAAAAATATAAGCAAAAAACTATTTCTTTTCAAATTTTGAAATATATATTAAAATTTGTAAATCTACAATAGCTCTATCAATACTGGACTTTCTATCTACACATATCTAATGAGGGGAATAATGAATTGGTTTTGTAAATACCTGAGATGATGCACCTGAACTTGGAAGACCAGACACTTTATGAAATGTATTATCGATTCTATATGACTTCTTAAGGGATACAATATATATGGTATTGTGAAGGGACTTTACTCCCTAAAACTAGAATAAAAACAGACTAGTTAAACAGACTAGTAAAATAATCATCAACTATTTACAAGTGTATACTGAACAAAAATGGTTACTAAAACAAAATATCAAAAATGAAATAAAAGATTCTTAACTGTTTGGATCAAAAATTTAATTCTTTTTTTAAAAGAAACAACATTAAATCAAAATAAAAACTGAAATATTGCTACTGTAGATATACTTGGGTTTTTTCCTAGATTCAACTAGACTATTACAACCAGAAATAATAAAAATATGTTCAGTATATAAAAATAGATCATAACATGTACAGTTTATTAAAACAAGTAAACAAAATGTTTTTAAAACAACAAAACAATGTATGCCAGGAAAATCATCTTCCAGGAACAAAATAGTTAAATTATTTCAGCATTAAACAAGTTATTCAACAACAGTCACAGAATCACTTTCTCCAGTATGAACAGCTACATATTCCTGTCCATTGACAAAACCATGATGTCCATCCACCGATACACCGCTATCATCACTATCAGAAAGTCTTTCCTTTTTCCCACTAATCACAGAATTCTTCATATTTGCATTGCTGTTTATATTTTTGTCTTGAATTTCTTTGAGAACCATGACAAGTTTCTGACAGACCAGATCTACATTTTCCTTAGTGAAGCACATTGGCGGTTTCATCTTTATTATGTTACAATGAGGACCATCCGTACTTAATATAATAAACTCTTCCTTCATTCTGTAAAATTATACATGAAGACATTTGAAGTAAGCTTACGAATAAATAAATACAGTAAGTTAATGTGGATTCATTATTATTCATGACATACAAATTTTCGTGGATTTCTTGGGTAAAGCGAAACCACAGATTTTAATGTTCAAGAGTACACATTTTCTTTAGGCTTGTATGCAGACTTTGGCAAAACCACAAATTCAAATATTAACAAAGTACAATTTTTCCTCAATCCATGAAAATTGGTTACTACGAAAATAAATGAATCTACAGTATGTGAAATCTATAGATGTTGTGTTGTTGAGTGTTGTCTTATCAAGGTATACAAATAATCTCCTATCATTCAAATGTACTGTATATGAAAAGAAAACATAGAAAAGTCTGCATATATATTAAAAACTTGAAAAAAATTGTATCAATGTTTTGGGTATCTTTGTTTTTTTCAATTACCATCAAAATGAATTTGGATGGATGAGAAGTGATATGGTGCATTAATTCACGAAAAATGGCAAAAGCTTGAAACTGGTCACTCTACCATAACAGTGTTTAAGTCTGATTCCATTCAAGTCTTCAATTTCACTTTTTTTTTGTTAAAATTGTTTTCATTTTGATGTTAGTCTTCAGAGTATGCCTAATGCACATTATATTCTTATGGTAAGAAATAACAAAACGTTTTGGTTAAAGAAATTCTGTCACTTAATATAAATGGGTTTGAGCAATTTGTATCTCAATTTATTTATTACAGTTAAAATCTATTTCTTAGGATCCGCCAGGCATGCAAGAATCAATTCAAAATCAATGGCATTCAATAATGATAATGATAAATAAATGGATAATGGGACACAGATGATTCCCCCGCTTGCATATAACGTTATAAAGGGACATAATAGAGAACTGTAAAAGTGATGCCACCCAAATTCGAACTTGACCTGTGTTTTATGGTAAGCATTGTGTATAAGTTTCATAACATTTGGTTGAGGACAGAAACCAATTTTGGGACGTACGAACGAACAGGAGGATGTACAGACATACAAGGATACATAAAAAGATAGAATTCATAATAATAAGACCAAAGTTATATTAAGTAAATAAAATTAAAATCTATTTAGCACATCTGTTGCTTTCTGATTTTGTGACTGTCATTGAAAAAAGTAACTGTTGTTTTTGAAATCAGCCAAAATGCCTGGTTAATATATATTTTTTTTTATCTTAACCACAGATAATTAAGTTGATTATCTGCCTTCTTAATTGAAATAAAAGGGAAAATAATCAACATTAAGAAAAATAATTCACACTTCAAACTTTTTCATGAATGAAGGTCGGTTGAGAACTAAACTTTATGACAAGAGTTGATTTCAGCTTTCTATTTCTATGTAGTAACATAACCTGTGTGTCAATATTCTGGTGTCCAAGAGAAAGCTCAAGTTAATCTTTACACAGCTTTTTTAACTTTGATTTTCAATGTGATATATTTTTACTTCATGTTACAAAGCATGTATGTAATATCTATGATTAATTTACCTCGCAATGACATGCTTAGCTTCAGCTGATGCTGGTTCTCTGGTTTCTCTGTCCTTGACTAGATCTATTCCTATAAACAGTCCTAGACCCCTACAATTATAAAATGTTAACTGAACTCTGATACAAAATGTTACAAAGCTGATGCTGCAAAATTTCATGTGTCATATGTTCAAGTGATTCCATTGAAAATATAAAATGTTGTTCTTTTTTTTTTATTTAAAGTCTGTCAATACTTTTATACTTTAAAACTCTGACCTCCTTATCACTTCAAAACTCTGGTTCTTAACTGACCATGGACAATATGCAATTATTTTGGAAAAATATTCTTTATACAAAAATTTTATAAAATTAAGTTAACAATTTTCAAGTGTTCAAGTGTTACATATACAAGAACTTCATTCACTGAAAAAAAATACCTTTAATATATTCCCAGTAATTCTTATGGGATCATAGCATTTTGCAATCAATTCTGAACAGACTAAACTAACAGACCGAATGGAATCTGAGATACTGCATACCTTCAAGGAATCAAGAAAAAGCATGTTTCAATAAGTTCTTATAAATTCAACAGGACTAACCTAACATCCCCAATAATAGGGAACTGTTTCTTTATTTCATCGAGCTGTGCCACCCAGTATTTTCCTGTGGTCAAAGCATTCTCTTGTAGCTTCTCTTCCTCTATAACATCCATCACAGCTAAAGCTATAGCACAGGATACTGGATTACCTCCATACTGAAATATAAATTTTATAATTACACATCAGAAAATAAAAGCTGATCACGGTCAAACATGAGTTTAAAACCATAACAATGAATAAACAATGTGGGATTACCTCAATGAGACAGCAACCCAGAGACAACAAGCATTCTGAGAGTATTGCATGGCAATACATAGTCTCCTACCGGGTAAAAATTCATTATACTGGAACAAAATGCTAACTCGTTCTATAAATTGTCATGGTGTAAACAAAAAGAAAATATCAAGTCAATATCTTCAAGTATGACTAAAAACAGTGTGGAAAACTGATTATATGAGTGAATTTTTCAAGTCCAAGGACCATAACTCTGCACAAAATTATCAGACCGAAACAAAAATTTGAACTTGATCTGTAACTTGTCATGATAAAACTATATACCAATTATCAATCAATATCTTCAAACATGATGAAAAAAAGTGTGGAAAACACTCTAACATTAGATGTGATTAATAGTTATCTAAAATTAGATATGATGTAATACAATATATATTTATTTTCAAGTTATAATCAAATATAATTAATAGTTCCAAATATTTTTTCTTTCATTTGTCACAAACTAATATAGATTTGTAACTTATCTATAAAACTTCAACAACTTTTTTCTATACACAATGTAATGTAATAAAATATATACCTTAATAAAAATAGATTATTATCTAATTAAAAGATTTCACTTCATAATTTTTTTTTATGTATATAGCATTCAGAAAATTAGTTTATACAAAATAAAAAACACTTCAAACAATTAACCAAAGAATGTCTTTAATAAAATGCTCCGCAGGGCGCAGCATGATACGACTGCAGAGGTCGAACCCTGAACAGTTGGGGCAAGTATGGACACAACATTCAAGCTTGATACAGCTTTGCATTTGGATTGTGATTAAATATTTGACACAGCATAGGTTTCTAACACAGAATGAATGTGGTCTAAGAACTTAAAAATTTTAAATTGGACATTCACCTATTATGGTCCAATATCCAAAATCTAAATACATGGTTAGATTCAGCATATCAAAGAACCCCAAGAATTCAATTTTTGATGAAATCAAACAAAGTTTAATTTTGGACCCTTTTGACCTCAATGTGGACAAAGTTGATAACGGGGCCCAAAAATCAAAAATCTAAATACATGGTTAGATTCAGCATATCAAAGAACCCCATATATTTAATTTTTGTTGAAATCAAACAAAGTTTAATTTTGGACCCCGATTTGGACCAACTTGAAAACTGGGCCCATAATCAAAAATCTAAATACATGTTTAGATTCAGCATATCAAAGAACCCTAAGAACTCAATTTTTGTTAAAATCAAACTAAGTTTAATTTTGGACCCTTTGGACCTTAATGTAGACCAATTTGAAAACGGAACCAAAAATTAAGAATCTAAATACACCGTTAGATTAGGCATATCAAAGAACCCCAATAATTCAATTTTTTATGAAATCAAACAAAGTTTAATTTTGGACCCTTTGGACCTCAATGTGGACCAATTTAAAAACGGGGCCCAAAATCCAAAAACTAAATACACGGTTAGATTCAGCATATTAAAGAACCCCAAGAATTCAAGAATAAAACCCCATTGAAATTGGTCAAGAAATAAGCAATTTATACAAAGTATGTTCTTTTGCACAATACTGTGCAATTAAATATTTCTTGCTATTGCGCAATACTGTACAATTGACAATTTCTGGCTATTGCGCAATATTGTGCTATTGGATATTTCTTGCTATTGCGCAATACTGTGCAATTGAAGATTTCTTGCTATTGCGCAATACTGTGCAATTGAAGATTTCTTGCTATTGTGCAATACTGTGCAATTGAAAATTTCTTGTTACTTATTATATAATAATTTACACATCCTGTTTGGTTTGTATCTCCTACCATATCATTATTATTTGCTTTTAAATATAAATCAGAAATAACCAACTTAAAATGGAAAATTTTAAAAGAAAAGAAAAAGGAAAAAAAGAAAAAAAAGGAAAAAAAAAAAAATCCCCCCCCAATTTTTTTGAACCCCCTTATGATTCATCACCCCCAAACTCAATCCCAGCCTTCCCTTTGTGGTATGGTACCTTGCAGTACAATTTCAGAGAGATCCATACACTTGAACACAAGTTATTGTCTTGAAACTAGAAAAATGTGTTTTTTTTGGCCCCTTTTTGGCCCCAAATTCCTAAACATTTAGGGCAATTACCCCCAAACTCAAACCCAGCTTTCCCTTTGTGATATGGAACCTTGTAGTACAATTTCAGAAAGATCCATACACTTACACACAAGTTATTGTCCTGAAACTAGAAAAATGCTTGTTTTTTGCCCCTTTTTTGCCCCTAATTCCTAAAATATTGAGGCAATTACCCCCATCATCAATCCCAGCCTTCCCTTTGTGGTATGGTACCACGCAGTACAATTTCAGAGAGATCCATACACTTGAACAAAAGTTATTGTCTGGAAACTAGAAAAATGCTTATTTTTGGCCCCTTTTTGGCCCCCAATTCCTAAACGTTTCGGCAATTACCCCCAAACTCAATTCCAGCTTTCCCTTTGTGATATGGAACCTTGTAGTACAATTTCAGAAAGATCCATACACTAACACACAAGTTATGTCTGGAAGTTACAAAAATGCTTATTTTTGGCCCCTAATTCCTTTACTGTTAGTACCATAACCCCCAAAATCAATCCCAACCTTCCTTTTGTGGTATTGAACCTTGTGGTAAAATTTCATAGAGATCCATTCACTTAAACTAAAGTTAGAGTGCGAAAACCAATGTGTCTTCAGACGACGCCGGACGACGCCAGACGACGACGACGACGACGACAACAACGTCATACCAATATACGACCACAAAATTTTTTTTCGGTCGTATAAAAAATGAGTTATCTCTCTTTGTACACAAATATGGTTTAACATACAAAATGTAGTACTCTACCATTAGATATGGACCATGATAACTCTGGACTAAATCATCAGACCGGAACAAAATTCGAACTTGATCTATAACTTGTCTAATAAAACTATATACCAAATATCAAATCAATATCTTCAAGAACAAAGAAAAAAAGTGTGGAAAGCTGATTTGCCGGACTGACGGATGGACAGACGGACGGACAGACAGACGGAAGGAGTGCAAACCTAAAGTCCCCTTCGACTTCATCGGTAGGGGACTAAAAATAATCATGAAATATCCAGTACACATCAGAACATGACACTGCCAAGATAACCTACATACTTGAAAATAAAAAAAGCAAGAGTCAGTGACGTGAAAGTAGATTTAAAATCATGTCTTGGTGAGGCTTGAATGTTAAAAAATTGGTCCTTTTATACAGCACTAGATTGAAACAGAATAAAAACTTATATCATATTATTCACGATGAGCATGTTTTGCAGACACACTGCATAAAACTAACTTTTGACAAGGCCATTGTGAAAGTTAAATTACGGTAATACTGAAATGATTCAATTCATAAAATCTGTTTTATAATTTTCAATTTGAAAATCAGATAAGGAGCAGAACTTACATGAAACATGACTTGGGTGTGAATTACTACTCCCTAATAAACCCAACCCGTGGTTTTTTGTTGTGAAAGGTAAAACATGTAGATAACAATCTCAAAGCAAACAACAGAAGGTAGATAAGGACATGGTTTAGCTTACCAATCTATCAAGAAGCCCATACTTGCAGTTGCTGAGAAAATATGACAGAAATATGATATGAACAGACTGACTAATAAACAGTTCACTTACAACAGTGATTATATGGTAACTTTCCTTGCGACAAATGAAGAATGATAATCCCTTTTAATTTGTTAAAAAGGAAAATCACATATCTCTATAATAACAGTATGATGAATTTGGCTTTAAGGTCAAATTTCATTATTTACTTACAGTATTAAAATATTCCATGCCAGAATTTTTAAAACTCATTGATATATCTTTTGTTGTGATTACAGCAGCAACAGGATGTCCATTTCCCATAGGTTTACCGATAGTTACTATGTCTGGTATAACATCTGAAATCAAACAAGGTATAGTTAAAAGACATTATTCAAGAGGGCCTGAATAAAAAAATGCATGATAAGTATAGTACTTTTTTTTTTAATAAAATCATTTTGTTTTGAAAAAAATAGTTTATAAAATATATCAATTATTATTGCACAGTAATTTTCTATGAAATTTACCTGTACTAATAAAAATAAAATGCTTCTCTGAGCGCAGCCTGATAAGACCGCAGAGGTTGAACCCTGACTAGTTGGGGCAAGTTTGGACACAATATTCAAGCTTGATACTATCTGAATTTGGATTGTGATCAAATTTTTGACATAATATGGGTTTCTGACACAAAATAAATGTGGTCAAGATCTTAAAAATTTGAAATGGGACATTTAAATTACCTAGAATGGTCTGATATCCAAATCTAACATGGTTCAATTCAGCATATAAAAAAACACCAATAATTTAATTTTAGTTGAAATCAAACAAAGTTTAATTTTGGACCCTTCAAACCTTAATATGAACTAATTTAAAAACAGGGCCCAAAATAAAAATCTAAATGCACAATAAGATTCAGCAAATCATACAGCCGCATTAATTCAGTTTTTGATGAAATCAAACAAAATTTAATTTTGGACCCTTTTAACCTCAATGTAGACCAATTTAAAAATGGGGCCCAATATCCAAAAAAATTATACAAGGTAAGAACCCCTAAAAATTAAAGACTTAATTAATCCTATCGAAATTGGTTAAAACATTTGTATTTGTTTTCAATTGAAGATTTCTTGCTATTGCGCAATACTGTGCAATTGGAGATTTCTTGCTATTGCGCAATACTGTGCAATTGAAGATTTTTTGCTATTGTACAATACTGTGCAATTGAAGATTTCTTGCTATTGCGCAATACTGTGCAGTTGAAGATTTCTTGCTATTGCGCAATACTGTGCTATTGTGCAATACTGTGCAATTGAAGATTTCTTGCTATTGCGCAATACTGTGCAATTGAAGATTTCTTGCTATTGCGCAATACTGTGCAATTGAAGATTTCAAAAATTTTGAAGAAAAAAAATGCCCCCCCCAAAAAAAAATTGGAAAAAAAATCCCCCCAACTTTTTGAACCCCCCACCCCCCATTTTGGTGTAATTACCCCCAAACTCAATCCCAGCCTTCTCGTTATGGTATGGAACCTTGTAGTACAATTTTAGAGAGATCCATACACTTAAACACAAGTTATTGTCTGGAAACTAGAAAAATGCTTGTTTTTTGGTCCCTTTTTTGCCCCTAATTCCTGAACGTTTAGGGCAATTAACCCCAAACTCAATCCCAGCCTTCCCTTTGTGATATGGAATCTTGTGGTACAATTTCAGAGAGATCCATACACTAACACACAATTTATTGTCCGGAAACTACAAAAATGGTTGTTTTTGGCCCCTTTTTCCTAAACTGTTGGTACCATCACCCACAAAATCAATCTCAACCTTCCTTTTGTGGTATTGATCCTTCTGGTAAAACAATATTCAAGCTTGATACTATCTGAATTTGGATTGTGATCAAATTTTTGACATAATATGGGTTTCTGACACAAAATAAATGTGGTCAAGATCTTAAAATTTGAAATGGGACATTTAAATTACCTAGAATGGTCTGATATCCAAAATCTAACATGGTTCAATTCAGCATATAAAAAAACACCAATAATTTAATTTTAGTTGAAATCAAACAAAGTTTAATTTTGGACCCTTCAAACCTTAATATGAACTAATTTAAAAACAGGGCCCAAAATAAAAATCTAAATGCACAATAAGATTCAGCAAATCATACAGCCGCAATAATTCAGTTTTTGATGAAATCATACAAAATTTAATTTTGGACCCTTTTAACCTCAATGTAGACCAATTTAAAAATGGGGCCCAATATCCAAAAAAATTATACAAGGTAAGAACCCCTAAAAATTAAAGACTTAATTAATCCTATCGAAATTGATTAAAACATTTGTATTTGTTTTCAATTGAAGATTTCTTGCTATTGCGCAATACTGTGCAATTGAAGATTTTTTGCTATTGTACAACATGTGCAATTGAAGATTTCTTGCTATTGCGCAATACTGTGCAATTGAAGATTTTTTGCTATTGTACAACATGTGCAATTGAAGATTTCTTGCTATTGCGCAATACTGTGCAGTTGAAGATTTCTTGCTATTGCGCAATACTGTGCTATTGTGCAATACTGTGCAATTGAAGATTTCTTGCTATTGCGCAATACTGTGCAATTGAAGATTTCTTGCTATTGCGCAATACTGTGCAATTGAAGATTTCAAAAATTTTGAAGAAAAAAAATGCCCCCCCCCAAAAAAATTGGAAAAAAAATCCCCCCAACTTTTTGAACCCCCCACCCCCCATTTTGGTGTAATTACCCCCAAACTCAATCCCAGCCTTCTCGTTATGGTATGGAACCTTGTAGTACAATTTTAGAGAGATCCATACACTTAAACACAAGTTATTGTCTGGAAACTAGAAAAATGCTTGTTTTTTGGTCCCTTTTTTGCCCCTAATTCCTGAACGTTTAGGGCAATTAACCCCAAACTCAATCCCAGCCTTCCCTTTGTGATATGGAATCTTGTGGTACAATTTCAGAGAGATCCATACACTAACACACAATTTATTGTCCGGAAACTACAAAAATGGTTGTTTTTGGCCCCTTTTTCCTAAACTGTTGGTACCATCACCCACAAAATCAATCTCAACCTTCCTTTTGTGGTATTGATCCTTCTGGTAAAACAATATTCAAGCTTGATACTATCTGAATTTGGATTGTGATCAAATTTTTGACATAATATGGGTTTCTGACACAAAATAAATGTGGTCAAGATCTTAAAATTTGAAATGGGACATTTAAATTACCTAGAATGGTCTGATATCCAAAATCTAACATGGTTCAATTCAGCATATAAAAAAACACCAATAATTTAATTTTAGTTGAAATCAAACAAAGTTTAATTTTGGACCCTTCAAACCTTAATATGAACTAATTTAAAAACAGGGCCCAAAATAAAAATCTAAATGCACAATAAGATTCAGCAAATCATACAGCCGCAATAATTCAGTTTTTGATGAAATCATACAAAATTTAATTTTGGACCCTTTTAACCTCAATGTAGACCAATTTAAAAATGGGGCCCAATATCCAAAAAAATTATACAAGGTAAGAACCCCTAAAAATTAAAGACCTAATTAATCCTATCGAAATTGGTTAAAACATTTGTATTTGTTTTCAATTGAAGATTTCTTGCTATTGCGCAATACTGTGCAATTGAAGATTTTTTGCTATTGTACAACATGTGCAATTGAAGATTTCTTGCTATTGCGCAATACTGTGCAATTGAAGATTTTTTGCTATTGTACAACATGTGCAATTGAAGATTTCTTGCTATTGCGCAATACTGTGCAGTTGAAGATTTCTTGCTATTGCGCAATACTGTGCTATTGTGCAATACTGTGCAATTGAAGATTTCTTGCTATTGCGCAATACTGTGCAATTGAAGATTTCTTGCTATTGCGCAATACTGTGCAATTGAAGATTTCAAAAATTTTGAAGAAAAAAAATGCCCCCCCCAAAAAAAAATTGGAAAAAAAATCCCCCCAACTTTTTGAACCCCCCACCCCCCATTTTGGTGTAATTACCCCCAAACTCAATCCCAGCCTTCTCGTTATGGTATGGAACCTTGTAGTACAATTTTAGAGAGATCCATACACTTAAACACAAGTTATTGTCTGGAAACTAGAAAAATGCTTGTTTTTTGGTCCCTTTTTTGCCCCTAATTCCTGAACGTTTAGGGCAATTAACCCCAAACTCAATCCCAGCCTTCCCTTTGTGATATGGAATCTTGTGGTACAATTTCAGAGAGATCCATACACTAACACACAATTTATTGTCCGGAAACTACAAAAATGGTTGTTTTTGGCCCCTTTTTCCTAAACTGTTGGTACCATCACCCACAAAATCAATCTCAACCTTCCTTTTGTAGTATTGATCCTTCTGGTAAAACAATATTCAAGCTTGATACTATCTGAATTTGGATTGTGATCAAATTTTTGACATAATATGGGTTTCTGACACAAAATAAATGTGGTCAAGATCTTAAAAATTTGAAATGGGACATTTAAATTACCTAGAATGGTCTGATATCCAAAATCTAACATGGTTCAATTCAGCATATATAAAAACACCAATAATTTAATTTTAGTTGAAATCAAACAAAGTTTAATTTTGGACCCTTCAAACCTTAATATGAACTAATTTAAAAACAGGGCCCAAAATAAAAATCTAAATGCACAATAAGATTCAGCAAATCATACAGCCGCAATAATTCAGTTTTTGATGAAATCATACAAAATTTAATTTTGGACCCTTTTAACCTCAATGTAGACCAATTTAAAAATGGGGCCCAATATCCAAAAAAATTATACAAGGTAAGAACCCCTAAAAATTAAAGACTTAATTAATCCTATCGAAATTGGTTAAAACATTTGTATTTGTTTTCAATTGAAGATTTCTTGCTATTGCGCAATACTGTGCAATTGAAGATTTTTTGCTATTGTACAATACTGTGCAATTGAAGATTTCTTGCTATTGCGCAATACTGTGCAGTTGAAGATTTTTTGCTATTGCGCAATACTGTGCTATTGTGCAATACTGTGCAATTGAAGATTTCTTGCTATTGCGCAATACTGTGCAATTGAAGATTTCTTGCTATTGCGCAATACTGTGCAATTGAAGATTTCAAAAATTTTGAAGAAAAAAAATGCCCCCCCCCCCCCCCCCCCCCAAAAAAAAATTGGAAAAAAAATCCCCCCAACTTTTTGAACCCCCCACCCCCCATTTTGGTGTAATTACCCCCAAACTCAATCCCAGCCTTCTCGTTATGGTATGGAACCTTGTAGTACAATTTTAGAGAGATCCATACACTTAAACACAAGTTATTGTCTGGAAACTAGAAAAATGCTTGTTTTTTGGTCCCTTTTTTGCCCCTAATTCCTGAACGTTTAGGGCAATTAACCCCAAACTCAATCCCAGCCTTCCCTTTGTGATATGGAATCTTGTGGTACAATTTCAGAGAGATCCATACACTAACACACAATTTATTGTCCGGAAACTACAAAAATGGTTGTTTTTGGCCCCTTTTTCCTAAACTGTTGGTACCATCACCCACAAAATCAATCTCAACCTTCCTTTTGTGGTATCGATCCTTCTGGTAAAAATTCATAGAGATCCATTCACTTAAACTAAAGTTATTGTCTGGAAACCAAATGTGTCTTCTGACGACGCAGACGACGATGCGACATCATAGCATTATACAACGCAAAAAATTTGTTGCGGTCGTATAAACATCTGACTATATCTTATGTTTTCCTACTTCCAACCAATACACGACAATTTGTATGATTTATTTCACTTTTTACAATAAAACAGAAATTTTAATAAAATTAGCTACAAAGGGAAATAACTCTAAAATATATAATAAAAAAGAAGAAAAAATTTGCTCAAGCTTGCTTCCCTTTCAGTAAAATATATTCTAAATTTATATTTAAATAAAATCTGTAATGAGTTATGGAAAATACATTAGAATTTTCAGATCCTGATGTTATGATCAAAACTGTATTATCAGTGTTATACAATATGGTCATTGAACTGAAAAAGATTACAATCCAGTCAACATTTATTATTCAACAATTTAACTGTTTATCATAACATCACTTATTATTGTGTAGCAATCCCAGAGGAAATCGCACAAACTTTTAAGTATAAAAATAAAGGGTAGTTCTTGAAGATGGTAGGGCATAGTTACTCTATATTTTTAGTAGCTTAGACATTTATAAAGGAAAAGAAACCATTCAAAAAATCTTAAAAGGTTTACCTTAGTTGAGCCCCTCTAAACTAGGAATCAATAAAAGCCAATGACACCACTAATGTTTTTGTCAAATAAAAATCAATGAAATAGATCTTATAGATTTTGAAGGAAACTTAAGGTGAAACATTACTATATATTTCTTTAGATGGAATTTTCTTATACTTGACCGAAATGAAGATGTTACCATGCTTTTTTTTTTAAATAAGAAAAAATATGGGTCACCTTGCTGTTTTTCAAGCTACAAATCTGCAAAATTGCCCAATTTTGCATAGATTATTCATGAAAAAACACTTTTTTGTGAAAAAATAGAAATAAATGAGATAGAATTTTGAAATAACATACGAGAAGACTGCTTTTATATTATGCTTTAAGAAAATTAAAAAAAAAGGTTTTACCAAACTTGCTTTCTTGCTACAAGTTAAAAATGAAAATTTCATTAACATTCTATTACATAAACAATTTTTACTATAGGAGTTATCTCCCCTTATATGGCTGAGAATTTGAATTGAACATAACAAATATTTGATATTTGTTAAAATGGTCTGTACAGTGCAATAAATCATTTATTTTTATTGATTTACACAAACAGTCTTACACATTTATTGTCAATCTGTCTCAAAACTTGCAGATTTAAGCAAAGAACTAGACCAATTTTGTACTGCTATTTTACAATCCAAGATGTCTCAAATTATTAAAAAAATTGAAATACTTTATTGACACTAGTTATGGCCCTTCAAATCTTTGAAGCTATTATTGCTGAAACAATTATGATGAAATATTCTATTAATGAATTTTTATAAAGAACATTGAAACATATTATTTCTGTAAAAAGTAGGTCATGTGGACCAACACAACCTCAGTCAGTTACCCACTTGTATACTCTTAACAAGTGAAGCAGCATAACTCTGCTCAATATCTACAGGCACAACAAAGTCAGAACAAGTACAACTGTGTATTAAAGATCAAGTAATTAATTCTACTACTTTGGATTAATTTATTTTCGTGGATTGAGGAAAACTTGCATTTTCGTGGATACCTTATTTTTGAGGAATCACCAAAATCTGCATACAAGCCTACATAACATTTGTAATTGGTTGAACATTTAAATTTGTGGTTCACTTATCATATGTGGTTTCATTTACATGTATAATGATAACTTATGATTTACACGTACAATGTATGTCAATGTATTGTTCTCATGATATGTTTCTTGTTTTAACAATTTGAATGTATACATTTAGCAATGCCCCTCATGGGCCCTTGAATGGTAAAAAGAAATGTATCTATATCTACATCTATCTAATGCTATGTGACAAAAAAAGTAAACACTGAAATAAAAGTTTTTCGACATATATATGTAATATACAGAGTAACATTCTTAGCCAAGTTTTATGACACAGGCTATATGATATTTTTTTTTAAATTATGATTTAAGGTGGTACCAAACACCTTGACTAAAATTAATTTGACTCGTTTAATTTTCATAAAATGTTGACAAAATATTTACTTTGACCCTTTGGCAAAAATATAAAAATTTCAAAAAATTTGAACCACACACTTTATCGGAAAAATTTCATTGGATATATAGCAGTTTGACAAACACTAATTTTGAAAAGCTTAATATTTTCTTAACAATAGAACGTGATTAAAACGTTCAGCTGATTTTTACAGAGTTATCTCCCTGTAGTATTATGTACCACCGTAAATGAATTTAGAAATTCGAAGGTAAAAGTCATTGCTTTTGGTTTTTTTTTTTATAAAAATGAATGAGTAATATGCCAATATAGTCTAAAAGAAGATTTTGTAAAGAGGAAAATATTTGCTGACATTAAATTTCAAGATTTCTTTACCTGAACCAGTTCACAATGTTTTATTTTGGCTCTATTTCTGGTCCCTTTTCTCTCTGATCTTCCTTAAATATCAAATACATGCCAGAGCATTTTCTAGCGATTTTATTTTATTTCTGATTTTAGCAAAAATAAACCCCTCACGCAAACTCCTACTTTACAATAACCTGTGTATAGCAATTTATCATAATTTGATAAAAACAATAAATAAATTAAATAAAGTAACTCATGTGACTACCTTGTGTTTGGAAGGTCCAGAAATGTGAGCCAGCCCTTCCAAAGCCCACCTGGACCTCATCAGCTATACATATTCCTCCTGCATCATGGACATACCTGTTAAAGAGTCATACTAAACACATAAAGCAGTGTGATAATTGCAGTGTGTACTGATATAATCTACTTGTTCTTGATATTGTGAGCAGTGTAAACTAATCAAGGCAACACTCTAGATACTGTTAGCCAACTGATTTTTGTGGATACTTTATTTACCAGTGGTAACACTAAAATTACCAATTAGCTCTATCTAGCCAACTTTATGGTATTTATTTTCAGGATTTTTCTCTGTGTTTGTTAATGTATTCATAAAGAAGATCCAAGTTTAACATACTCACAATTACTTATAGTTGCATCAATTTTTTTTAATTACAAAAGTCACAAAAATAAGTTAAGTTACAGTATTCCTAATGCCTTACAAATACTTTTATTAGTTAATGGCAAATTCTTATGTGGTTGAAAAAAATGTTTGAATGGATTCTACAACTCAAAAGTACAACTGTAAACAAAGCTGTGTACAGAAGTCAAATATCTTCTGTGATCTAAAATTTTGATAGTACTGGGCAGATGCAGCCAAAAAAAATCCAAGACATATTTTAAAAGCATTTTGAGATATCTTAAAGTTAAATTCTAAGTAAATATATAAAGGCTTGATCTTTGTTTAATGTTTTATTATTTCTGAGATAATAAATATATTTTTTTAAATTGTAAATTCATAAATAACCCATAAAAATATAACCTTTAAAAGAATAACCCATAAAAAAATAACCTTAAAATAACCTCTAAAAGAACAAGCATTCTGTGAGTATTGCATGGCAATACATAGTCCCCTACCTGTTGTACTGGAACAAAATGCTAACCTGATCTATAACTTGTCATGGTGTAACTATATAACAAATATCAAGTCAATATCTTCAAGCATGACGAAAAAAAGTGTGGAAAACTGATTATTTAAGTGAATTTTCTAAGTCCAAGGACCATAACTCTGTACAAAATCATCAGACCAGAACAAAATTCGAACTTGATCTGTAACTTGTCATGATAAAACAACATACCAAATATCAAATCAATATCTTCAAGCACGAAGAAAAAAAGTGTGGAAAACTGATTTGCCGGACTGACGGATGGAGTGCAAACCTAAAGTCCCCTTCAACTAATAACCCATTAAAAAATAACTTATCATATAAGAATACCAGTAACTTAAATATAAATAGAGAATTAAGAGTCAAAATAATCAGAACATTGAATCAATTACTCTGTAAATAATACCTGTTCAGTTTCATGTTTTCAAGCTATGCTATCTTTTGAAAAATCTATGAGGTATTCAACCTTAGTCAACAAACAAAATACAATAGGTGTTTGTCTGGGTGGTTGTATAACAATTAACCCTGTAATACAGGTATAGCACAGTCCATATTTTTAGCAACCTAAAAATTACTTCTACAGAATTAAAATAACATACTAATGGAATAAAGCACTACACATTCAACATTTGATGTACTAACTGTGAAATTAAAATCAAAAGAAACATTTATTAAAATGTTTTTGGCATAGTTTAAATGCACCTTCAGTTTTCAGAACTATTTTTCATTTAATTTGCGATTGTAATCTTGAGATTTGTTTAAATCACAACTTTTAATGGTAGTTGGTGCATTGAAAGATGTATACAACCTACAAACTAATCCCTTAGGGATCTACTTTTTTTAATAGTGGCAATATAATGTTTGTCTGTAAAAACAACATAAACCTCAAATCAAGCAGTATGTCTTAAATTAACTAAATTCACAAATATGTAATAAATTCAACTTTCCATAATCATTGACACTATTTGTACATCTGAATATATTCTCTATAACACTAATTGTAATGTACTAAAATGCTTCCCTGAGCGCAGCCTGATACGACCGCAGAGGTCAAACCCTGAACAGTTGGGGCAAGTTTGGACACAATATTCAAGCTTGATACTGTCTGAATATGGATTGTGATCAAATTTTTGACATAATATAGGTTTCTGACACAAAATAAATGCAGTCAAAGATCTTAAAAATTGGTCTGATATCCAAAATCTAACAACATGGTTCAATTCAGCATATAAAAAAAACACCAAAAATTTAATTTTAGTTGAAATCAAACAATGTTTAATTTTGGACCCTTCAAACCTTAATATGGACTTATTTGAAAACAGGGCCCAAAATAAAAAAATTAAATGCAATAAGATAATAAGATTCAGCATATCATACAGCCGCAATAATTCAGTTTGTAATGAAATCAAACAAAGTTTAATTTTGGACCCTTTTGACCTCAATATAGACCAATTTAAAAATGGGGCCCAATATCCAAAAAAGTAATACAAGGTTAGAACCCCCAAAAATTAAAGACTTAAAATTAATCCCACTGAAATTGGTTAAAAGATTTGTATTTATTTTCAATTGAAGATTTCTTGCTATTGCGCAATTAAATTTCTTGCTTTTTTGCAATACTGTGCAATTGAAGATTTCTTGCTATTGCGCAATACTGTGCTGTTGCACAATACTGTGTTGTTGATACAATTGAAGATTTCTTGTTATTGCGCAATACTGTGCAATTGAAGATTTCTTGCTATTGCGCAATATTGTGCTATTGCACAATACTGTGCAATTGAAGATTTCTTGCTATTGCGCAATTGAAGATTTCTTGCTATTGCGCAATACTGTGCTATTGTACAAAACTGTGCAATTGAAGATTTCTTGCTATTGTGCAATACTGTGTTGTTGCGCAATACTGTGCTATTGCACAATACTGTGCAATTGAAGATTTCTTGCTATTGCCCAATACTGTGCTATTGTACAATACTAAACTATTGTGCAATACTGAGCAATTGAAGATTTCTTGCTATTGCGCAATACTGTGCAATTGAAGATTCAAAAAAATTTTGAAGAAAAAAAATCCCCCCAAACTTTTTGAACCCCCCCTTGGAGTAATTACCCCCAAACTCAATCCCAGCCTTCCCTTTGTGGTATGGAACCATGTAGTACAATTTTAGAGAGATCCATACACTTCAACACAAGTTATTGTCTGGAAACTAGAAAAATGCTTGTTTTTGGCCCCTTTTTTGCCCCGTATCCTTGAACGTATGGGGCAATAACCCCAAACTCAATCCAAGCCTTCCCTTTGTGATATGGAACTTTGTGGTACAATTTCAGAGAGATCCATACACTTACACACAAGTTATTGTCCGGAAACTACAAAAATGCTTGTTTTTGGCCACTAATTTCTAAACTGTTGATATCATAACCCTCAAAATCAATCCCACCTTCCTTTTGTGGTACTGAACCTTCTGGTAAAATTTCATAGAGATCCATTCACATAAACTAAAGTTATTGTCCGGAAACCAAATGTGTCTTCTGACGACGACGACATCATAGCATTATACGAGGCAACAAATTTTTTGAGGTCGTATAAATATGTCAAATCATTTTAATATAAAATAAAAGTTCCAATGTCCATTGCGTTGCACATATTTTATCTATCCAAGGTACAAGGTCAATAACTAAAAAAAGCACTTTGCTTTAAAACTTTTTATAAATATCATAGAGAAATGCAGGCTTGAGAGTAAATACAATGTGATTTCCATTATAATTAATACTTCCAAGGGGCATAATTGCTAAAAATATTTGATCAGCACTTATCTTAAAAAGTGTCAAAGACATTGCTGATATAAACCTATGATATAAGTTTCATAAAATTCTGGCAATAATTGAACACATGAGAGTACTGACAATGCAATTTTACATATAATCAATATTTCCAAGGGGCATAACTCTTTTACAAATATTTGATCAGCACTGATTTTTGAACTCATCAAAGACAGTGATGATATAAACATATAATATAAATTTCATAAACATCTGGCAAGAATTGAACACATGAGAGCGCTAACAATGCAATTTTCCATATAAATAATGTTTCCAAGGGGCATAACTCTTTTAATAATAATTGATCCGCACAGATTTACGAACTTGTCCAAATCATTGTGATATAAACCTATGACATAAGTTTCATTAAAATCTAGCAAGAATTGAACATGTGAGAGCGCTAAGAAGACCAGACGGACAACCGGTATTTCTATGTCCCCCGAAATGCAGGATTGAATAAAACAGAAATAGCTCAAATGAATAAGAAACAAGAAAAGGGATAAGGTGGCACCTTACTGGTTGGATGGCACTTTACAGAAAGGGTGGCACCTTACAGGAAGGATGGCACTTTATAGGAAAGATGGCACTTACAGGAAGGGTGGCACCTTATAGGTAGGGTGGCCATTTTTTTGTGAAGTCTCATCAAACAGGATTTTGTTACAAATTAAGAAGCAACCTACTTGTAAACTTTCTGTAGATATCCTTCTGGAAAAATCACCTGCCCAGCACAGCTCTGCATCGATTCTGCTATAAACATTGAAACCTGTTTCTTCTCTTTCTTGAGTTTATCAATCACAGCCTTGACCTCATTAGCATACAGGTGTCCCATATTGTCCTCAGGGTAGTCACAGTCTCTATACTTCCCTCTGTAGATATCTGGACAGGGAACCTACAAAATATGTAGATATCAGTAAACTGATACCTGTCACCTATATATTAGTGTAAAGATGTGCCACATTACATTGTCTTTGGGGTGGTCAAAGTCTCTAGACACATAATCTGCATACATCAGTAGATAGATAACATGTTGCTAGTCTTTTCATCAGTATGCAGGTTTGATTGACAGCCTAGGTTTTTGTAGTTATAGCAAAATACAAGTGTGCAAGGTTGTCTGATGGGAATCATGGGTCTGGTTTTCAGCCAACAAAAAACAAAGATACAGGGGACAACTGTCTATACAGACACCTGCAACATTTGCTTTAACATACACGTCATACATTGTTTTCAAGATAGTTACAGTCTCTATTTTTCCTCAGATTGACTCAGTAATGTACAGGTACTGAATAGAAGATGTTTCTATGACCTTGCTACACAGCCATATATATTACTGTGTAGGAATAAAGAATTTAAAGTCAGCAGGTTAAGTCCTCCGACTTTTGGTAATTGTAAGTTCTGGGATATTTGCCGTCTTAATGTGGTTGTTGAAAAAGTTGTCACACTTGACATTTATCTATTGATTTGCCTATATAAAAAGAAGATGTGGTATGATTGCCAATCAGACAACTCCCCACCAGAGACCAAATAACGTAGAATATTTCATGCAGATAACATATTGTTGATCCTAGTATAAGATGGGACTCTTTTGAACTTTTGTAGTGTTTATATTGTTTTTCTTTTACTTGTGGTTTGTTTTATGTATAATTTATAAAATTTTTATACCAGTTTTATATGTATTTTTATGTGCTTTTACTGTACTGAGTTTTAATATATGTTCTTTTATGTACCTTTTTGGCAATCAGCTAATTGAGATATAAATGGGAAGAGCTGAGTTCTTCAAAAAAACTAATTCAAACATGCCACATGTCCATTTGCTTGTCCCGTTTTAGAAACCAATTGCTAAGTAGCTGGGTATAGTTATATCAGGTTTAATCTTTGTCATTTTGCCGCAAAGAAAACTTGTTCACAAGTATTGCTGATTGTTCCTCCAGTACTAGATTGGTTGATACTAATTCATACCTGCCAACTTTTCAAAATCTCCATTGGGGGATTTTAAGCACAAGATGACCTTAATTCATACAAATACATGTCGTTAGTGTACTTAATTAGAATATCTATTGTTTGGAATGAGTATGTAAGTTTTTGAATGTATTTTTTTTATTATTCAGAATACCTTTTTAAAAGTCTTTAGTCTAAATAATTGAGTTTTATAACTCATGTCAATATTGGGAATATCCCCCATAAAGTGGGAGAGTTGGCAGGTGAGATTTAAACTGCCCTTATTTTTATTTTTTATTTTTTTGGATATTTGTAACATTTTTCTTTTTCTGTATAAGGAGCACTTATGATAAACAAATGCTAAAGCCTTTTAAGACATGGGTATACATACATGTATATGATAATTGTTATACTTGATAATTTACTGAGAATAAATCATGTGACTTACAATGTGGATATTTTTTGAGTGTGTATGAATACCATCAGTACACGTTCCCAGTTTATATGGTGATATATCTAATGCTGAAATCACATGTCCATGGTATGCACTAAAAACAAAACAAAAAAATCATTACTTTACATACTATAACATTTTTGTGCCAAATCATTTTTATGTTGTTTTTATTTCATGTTTTCAATATATCTATCTATCTATAACATTCTAAATATAACAGGCTATTATTTGAACTTGGAATTATTTTTAATTATGGAATTTGCATTATTTCTTGTGCTTGAAATTTTTTATGAATTCCATGTTTATTCTGTATTATAATGTTCTGTGCGGCGCACAACACTTTCTATTACAAAGAAGATAGCACATTTTTCAATAGAATGTACTGTGCCGCGCACAACACTATCTATACAAAATACATTGTGTGGAAAGTGTTATGCACCGCTCAAAACATAATAATACTTAATAAACATGGAATTTATCAAAAATTTCAAATACATGAAATTATGCAAATTCCATAATTAAAAATAATTCCAAGTTCAAATAATAGCCTGTTATATGTGCTTCCTCTCAAACATATCCATCTCACCCAAATGTGTCTATTTGACTTTAACAAATGCCAAAACATGTTATTTTTTTTTGCTTGACACAAAAACTTGTTCCTCTTTTCCAAAACATTTTAAGCATTATCTGAAACCAAAACATGTCCCTTAAATGTTGCAATACACTAAAATCTATATAGTGCAAGACTTTCTACTCAACTATTAATGAAAGAGAGAGAGTTTATATTATTGAGACAACTTACTGGTCTAGTGTAATCTGTTCTGAACCATGTGTGTGATGATTGGCAAGTCTTATGGCAAGATCAGTGGCTTCAGATCTGAAATTATGAACAAAACAATAATTTGAGAGTTCATACTTCAGTACACTCATTCTCCTTATAGTACACTGACAGTTTATAAAATAACAAGGAGATTAGGTATACATGTAATTACCAATGAGACAATTATCCATCAGCTACCAAAGGACAAAGATGTGAACTATTACAGGTCACCAATAAATAAAACCTATAACATATTGTTAGCTATAAAAGGCTATGGAATGACAAAGTGAGAAAAAAATCATCATAGATACAAAGCTTACAATTTTCAAGTATGCCACACCCACTTCGTCTAGCAAAGACTCATCAGTGGTACTTGAATCAAAATAGTTGTAAGGCCAAATAAAAATAAAAGAACAGAGTTCCAATTTCCCCCACGTTGCACTTATTTAATATTTCCAAGGGCATAACTCTTTTTAAAAAAGTTGATCGTCCACCATTACAGAACATGTCCGAGATATTACTGATATTAACCTATAGTATAAGTTTTATAAAAATCTTGCAAGAATTGTACCTGTGAGAGCGCTAACGAGGCCATTTTCCATAAATTTAATATTTCCAAGGGGCATAACTCTTTTAACAAAAATCGATTGTCCACCATTTTAGAACTTGTCCGAGATATTGCTGATATTAACCTATAGTATAAGATTAATAAAAATCTGGCAAGAATTGTACCCGTGAGAGCGCTAACGAGGCCATTTTCCATAAATTTAATATTTCCAAGGGGCATAACTCTTTTTTTAAAAAGTCGATCGTCCACCATTTTATAACGTGTCCGAGATATTGCTGATATTAACCTATAGTATAAGTTTTATAAAAATCTGACAAGAATTGTACCCGTGACAGTGCTAATGAGGACGGACGGACGCCCTGTATTTCCATGTCCCCCGCAACGCGTTATGTGGGAGACAATAAATTGAAGAGCATTGAAATCCATATTGAAAACAAAAAAAATGAAAAAGGTTAAAAAAAGGCTATCTATGCATGGGGGTAGAAAAACCTTAGTGAATCGAATAATTTTTTTATAACATTTTATAAACAACTAATTTACAGAAAATAAAGTATCAATGATATTTCATGCCAGCACAGACCTGAATACTGAGTTGGTGATACCCTGAGTTTGTAAATTCACAACATTTAAGTCTTATGACAGTGTGGATGTTAGTCTTTCCTGAGTTTGTAAAATACACAACATTTAAGCCTTCTTGCAGTGTGGATATAAGTCTTACCCTGAGTTTGTAAAATACACAACAGTTGAGCCTTCTGGCAGTGGGATGTAAGTCTTACCCTGTGTTTGTAAAATACACATTTAAGCCTTCTGGCAGTGTGATGTATGTCTTACCCTGAGTTTGTAACATACACAACATTTAAGCCTTTTGGCAGTGTGTATGTAAGTCTTACCCTGAGTTTGTAAAATACAAAACATTTAAGTCTTTCAGCAGTGAGGAAGTAAGACTTACCCTGAGTTTGTAAAATACAAAACATTTAAGTCTTTCAGCAGTGAGGAAGTAAGACTTACCCTGAGTTTGTAAAATACACAGTATTTAAGCCTTCTGGCAGTGTGGAAGTAAGTCTTTCTGCTAGCATTACCAGATTATCATGAAGAAATCTGGAGTTGGTATTCAATGTCTTCATTTGTTCATATCCGGCCTCTACCACATATGGATGGCAATGGCCAACTGAAATCAAATATATACCATGCTTAGTATCATCATGGCAAAAGGTTGATTACTCTGTACAAGCAATGGTCATTCTTTTAGTGAAAGTAAATGTAGCCTCTACATGTAATTTTGAACCTTACAGGCATACCATGACTTTATGCAATGGATGAATTGAAAAGGCAAGCAAGTTTATATATATTATTGTTTTTGAAACTATCATTATCAATTACTATTTTATTGTTAAGGTTTGATTCTGCGAATAGAATTGAACCTATTTTCTTTTTTGCTTGAGAAAACCAATTACTTCTATACACCTCCATCTAAAAAAATTTATGACCACTACACGACCTCCACTTGTACTTCCATTTAAAACCAAATAAAAACTGTTTCTTTATTTCTACTTTAAAGTACAGAGCAACACTGGTTCTGGTCTGCACCCACCCGCCTTTTTATGGTCAAAAATTTGTACTTTTTAGTATATTACACAAATCTCCTTATTGAAAATCCTGAATCAGCCATAAATTATATAAATTACACACATTAATATTTTCAAACATAGTATATAAACTGCAGTGCCTAAATTGATCACCTTTTGTGTGCCACTTTTCTCTGTACAAATTGTATTTAAATGCAAATAAATCAACAAAAGGACAACTTCGGGATAAGAGCAGAATACATATAAAGATATAACTATTGAACAGCCCCAACACTGCCATGAACTTCCGAAGATACATACCATGACAGACATTATTTATACAGTCCAGATACGCATTGTCTTTCTCATCATACATATACTGTTTGGAAGCTTTCGTGATCTTCAATGGATCATGTTTGAAAAACAGTGTACATGCATCTCTGAAAACATAATACAATTATTAATTTTTTTTCTGTTTAAAAATGATGGAAATTATAGAAACTAGGAATCATGTGACATCACGGCAATTAATAGAAACAAACATTAATTCAATTTTCATAATTCTGTGAAGCCATTTTTGTTGTGGGCATATTTTCAGGCAAAAGTCCTAACGGGACACAGATTTATATGTCAATGCATATCCGACACTAAAATATATACTTATGTCACTAAAATTGATCATAAGTTTTCTGAATTGTTCATGACTAAATAGGGAATTTTTAACAAGATTTTCTGAAACACAAACTGCATTAGTGATCTGCATAAAATGATCCTCATTATTATTTTGAGCTATACTGGTAATTTTCTTGGTGGATTCAGACTTTGTACACTATAAATCAAGGAAAATAAAACTTGTGGTTTTGATAAAACATGAAATACAGTATTACATGAATAAAAGTAATGATAACTATAGAAATCCTGTATTTATACTTCAACTGATGTAGCAATGTTGGTGATTCAATTTAGCTGAATGTACAGGAATTTAAAGGTATACATCTAAGGTTGAAGAAAATTTGTTTAAAAATTACAATAGAGGAACATAATAATACCTGTACAAGTGTCAGGTTAAGATGGACATAGTTCAAATATGGTCCTTCATATTGGAGGAGCTAAAATCTGGACATATTGATTTACATATGAAATAGTACTTTAGTTTAATGTCAATTTTTCTGACTGACAATTCTAAGACCCTCCTTTTTTCAAATATTTTGTCATGTTTTACACAAACATGAAAATAATTTAGATTTTCCAGCTGTAGATAAACCATGAATGTTTACATGTCTCACAAAGAGTACAGAACTTAAAGGTCAATACCATGTACATCTACTTAGTGTAAGCACTAAAAACTTTATTTGTTTTAACAAGCTTCATAATTCATACAAATTGTACATGCCATGATTATATGTAACCTATCATAGGTTTGAACGTTGTTTTCAATTTAGACTTATATATATATATATTAGCTAGCAAAGATAAATGTTCGGCCTGCAGGGCTTTTACTGTCAAATTTGCATACTGAGATTTTTTGGTACAGAAAGTTAACAGAAACTGGGTTTTAAAGGACAAACCAACAGTTCAAAATAAAGTCATTACATGATCTCTTGTAAAGCTATCTTATCTTATTTCACTATATCATATTCAATGTTGAAGGCTGTACAGTGACCTGTACTTGTCCTATGGTCTTTTGACACATTGGCAATCTCCTTCTTACTATTTTTATACAAATAAATTAGTTTTCTAGTACATGCACTAAGTATGTATTGTTAAGACCATGATAAGGTGTACTAATGACAGCTTGTCAGTCTTTCTGTTTTACTCTACCAATCAACCTGTGGGATAGTAACAAGATAGAAGTGTGCTTGTTGTCGGTCAATTGTAATAAGTTCATGACTCTATACAGTATTTTGTTTTCGATTGAATAAAAGGAAATGGGTGGTGTGGTATATTTCAATGAGACAGCAACCCAACAACAACAAAAGCGACTAGTAAAGACTGCAACTGTTTGTGTAGAGTTATCAAATTCACAATTTACCATGATAATTAAATATAAAACACAATATTTCAGATGATTATTCATCAGTATTTTACGTTAACAACTGACCTATTAGAAAATTATATCAATTTTTTATGAAACAAGAGGCTCTGTGTCGCTCACCTGGTACTATGTGCATTCTCAATGATAACCACTCTCAAACATTGTAGCCTAGTGTATAATTCATGACTAAATCTGTTTTTCATCGTTTTTTTATGATTATTTTTATTGTTTACAGTTTCTCTATGTTCTGTTATTTTGCCCAAAATGAAAAAGGGTAAGAATGGTCATTTAAGGCCAATAACTTCTATAAAGAGTTGAATGACAATTTCAGCCATGATGCATAGTTGTAGATCTTGTCCTCTAATCATTTTTGCTTTTTAAAGTTCCTGTCTATTAGAGTTTTCAAGATAATAGGCAAAAACGAAAAGAAATGGTAAAATTCGTCATTCAAGGGCAATAACTCCAATAAAGAGTCGACTCATGATTTGGGCCATGTTGTTTCATTTGTAGATCTTGTCTTGCTAATCAGTTTTGCTATTTAAAGATTCTCTCTATCGATTACTAATATAGTCTTCAAGACAAAGGGCAAAAATTGATAAAACTTGTCATTTAAGGGCAATAATCATAAAATATATGTTCTATTTTTAGCCATGTTGGTTGGCAGGATCATTGGACACACTTTTATACCAGATACCCCAATGCTGATTGTGGCCAAGTTTTGTTCCAATTGGCCAGTTTCAGAGGAGAAGATTTTTTTTTAAAGTAAACCGACGACTGATGCCAGGTGAGCTACAAATTAGATGTGGAGTAAATGTCAATTACACAGCAACCCAATGACACAAATAACACTACTAAACTTCTAGAGGTCAACACAAGTGTCTTACTTTAACACTATATCAAACACTAAAATGCCATCAGTCTATCTTGTTAGTCAGGGTGTTTTAATCTATCAACTTTTGTTTCATGTTTACTATATATATATAAATTATAACAGGAACCATCAACTCAGAAGTAGAATATCATATTTTACTAAAAGCTTTCATGTCAAGACAAAAAAATATCTCATTAACTTTATAAAGTCATGAATTAGTTTACAATACATGGTCCTTAACTCATGACTTTATATAGTATTTTGACCTTTGAGATCTAGTCAGGAGTTTTTAATCTATCAACTTATGTTTAACATTAATAATAAACTCAGTTATTATTTTTTACTATATATCTAAAGATCAGTCTATATAGCTAATGTCTAACAGACCAATGATATAATGTGTCTTTCTTGCCAAGATGCTTTCTTGGGGGTAGTTAACTCCCTTTAATTGCAGAAGGTCATGGGTTTTATCCATGACCTTAACAAACCACATACTGGTATTGGCTGATTCCGTGCATGATTTATTCTTCAGGAAAAGAATTAAAAACTTCACTAAGTGCACCATAACACAATCAAAACATATCAACAAGAGAACGATTTAACAAGCATATTACAATAGAAACTGTGAACAAGTACACTATTAAGTGTGCTTGGAACTACATGTATTGAATAAAATGGAAAAATCCTATGACACACATAACTTTAACTAAAGGATAAAATATCAACGGACACATAAAGTTTCATTTTGTGACTACATGCATTGATACCCATTACATATTATATATTCCATTAATTTGCAAGGATGATAAAGGATAATAAGTTTAACCAAATTTATATTTTGAATGATTTATAGTTGGTAGCTAAAAAAACATTGACTAAGACCATCCATCCAGCAAGCTCCATCTATTACTCTATTAACATCACACAGAAAGTACACTATAACAAGTTAAATCAAGCCAGAAGAATAATCCCAAAATCTGTAAACATGAAGAGAATACATGGTTTTGACTAAGAATTTGTCAGATGAGTCCAGGGACATCATAATTTTTGTCCATAAAAAATCATTATCAACTTTATCAAGCTTAACTTATTTCATTTTTTTTTTTTTATAATTGATCTTTTATATACTCAGCTCCTATGCAGCAAGCTAGAGTCTCATCTGTTTATAAAACAAATAGTCCAGGGCTCATCTTAGTGAAAACCTTGATAAAATGAGAATTGTTAAGAAATGGGTATAATGTAACTAAAATACACATGTACACTGCAGTTAGTTTACCGATAAAAAGATAACTTTGTTAAACCATTATTTACTAGTTATTTAAATCCAGTTTGAGGACAGAATTGTACTGGTAGCTATGTTAAATAGTTACATAGGTATTCAATCAACCTACATATTCCTAGTTTGTTTTGATAATTGGAATAAAAATATCATCATATGACCAAATGTAGCTTGTTGGAATTTATCTATGGATACAAAGAAAGTGCAATCATTTAAAATAAATAGCACAATACATAAAGTACAAAACTCAAAAGGATCACTCAGACAACTGTGTGCCATATATAGTTACAAATGTATTACTAACTTAAGGTAGCTTGGGTGTCTTCCGCCATCTTGGATTGTAAAATAGCAGAAAACAATCGGTCAAGATCTTTAATGAAATGTGCAAATTTTAAGAGAAGAATGTCATTCATTTGTTAGACTTTTCATCTGAATGAAGAAAATTATGTGTTTTATCATTTTTTTGCAACTGTTTCTTACAAATACATATTTGTTTCAACTTTGTCATATAAGGGGAGATAACTCAGATAATGTAACTTTTATACTGGAATGTCAGTTATGAATTTACCTATTTTGTTTTGTAGCAAAAAAATGAGTCCTGTGACCCTAATTTTTCTTTTATATTTTTAAAGCCCATTATAAGAGCTATCTTCTCATATTTTATCTGAAAATTCTATGGTTTAGTTTTCTTTCTGTCACACAAAATTGTGTTTTGCATGAATAATCTATACAAAATCTGACAATGTTGCACAACCTGTACCTTGAAAAGAAGCCCTGTGACCTATACTTTTTATCATATATTTGAGAAAGCCATGATATAAACTACATTTTGGCTAATTATTAAAAAATTATATGGATTTTAATTTAGACTCCAGTAGTTACTTGTAACCAATAGGGGCGCAGTTGGGACTCTTGTCTTGACTCCCTTAATGTTACGGGGTCATGATTTTATTTGTAAAATCATTAGTAAAGCAATTAAATCTTGAAGGCCACCAATATCAGGAACTAATTGTTGCAGTTCATGAAGATCCAACACATTCAAGTTATATAATTTAATTCCAAGCCAAAGTACTAATATAACATATACATAGGACAATGTCAATATAATGTGACTCCTACTGTATCTTACTTTCTAACTGTTACACACTTCTGATTGTTTTATACTTTACAAAGTTTACCATAAATATTTATACTGAATATTGAAAACAGACAATACTCAATTAACATGACCCATTCAAGAAACCCACAAAAATTGGTATCTCAAGAATAACAATGAATCCACTGAATACAACCTACATTTCTGTACATCATATTATAATAAAATAAATGTTTGACTTTAAAAAATAAGAACTAGCCATAAATGATTAAGAAAAGTAAAAAAAATATCAAATATAGTATAGAATAGGGGCTCTTTAGTATATACAATATTTTTTCCTTATTTTAATCATTTATTGATAGAGATTCAAGTGACTGTGGTTAATGTTAACAGACCTAAATTACAGGAATTTTAATTTTCGTGCAGGTTAATCATGTAAACACCATAATAAATTAATTAAAATAAATGATTCATTAAACACATGTACCTGTACATGTACTCTGTATTTAAGTTTTTACAGAGGTTATTAAAAGCATATTTAAATGTCATTACAAGTAGTATTTAAAAAGATTAGTCCTTCACTTATGGACAAATAATGGCTATATTGAAAAAGAGAACAATTTTACCATCAGTGTTTCTTACATGATTGCTAGCGAAAAAAAGGGGGTTACAATTTTACACAAAAAATCTGAAAACATTTGCTGCAAACCCTGAATCAGGGATGTGTACATGGTATGTATAATTTGAATCTACTTTCGATATTATTCTGTAAGGGTAGGTCCCGTTTTACACTGAAAATAGCTATTGTAAATTCGAATATCTTATGAAAGTGATTTGTACAAACAAACATATATGTCCTTGAAAGAAAGATGCAGCAGCTGATGGAAATCGATAAGCTCTACATGTTTCAAATCATTTTTGATATGTTCCCTCTAAGATCCTATAATACTATGCACTTACCCAATGTGTTTATTTCTTTTTTCTAATGTTATTTCCTTCGAAAACCTTTCCATTATAGTTGGGGGAGAGCTGCAGCAGCTGACGAAAACCAAATAGACACTGACCAAATCAATGTCGCGGTTGCTCTTTCTTATACGATAAAAGAAGTGGGCGTGTCTATTAAAGGAAAACAAGGCGGGGCGTGACCAATACTCTACGTACAACTTTGATTAATTCTGTGTGTTTTAAGAGGGTAGGAATTCCTTTACAGTGTTATGATATTTTAATTTCCCCCCTTTGCATCGTTTTCTCTTTTTTGTTTTAAAACAAAAGTAACTTATTGTTAGTTTAGAAAGTCCCTGAGAATATTCAAACGAAATTTCTTCGTGGTCTTCATTTCAAGTAAAAGGTTCGAATTAATTTCAAAATGAAATGTAGTACATGTTTAAACATAGTATAGAAAGTCCTTGATATTCTTAAAGCTTTCAGGTTATCTTTAAAAGTAAACGGATGTCTGTGAACTTAATTTTAGATTTAATGCACGTCAAATAATTTCCTTGAACGATTTAACATTTTTATAATTTCTAAGAAATAAATCAGCTATGTGTTATTGAAAAAATTATATTACATTATTCTTGACTTAATTCTCTAGTACGCCTGTATGTATATTTTAATGCACACGGATTTCGAAAGGATCCGAATTTCAATCAAGTAACACATGACATAGCTTTTATAATGATATTTTTTTTGTGTGTTGCATTTAAACAGAGACATTTGTATTATATGTCTCTGATTTAAATGAATAAATTACCGAAGATGATATTAAAAAAAGAAACACCAAACCATGTTTACCTTTTGTATAACAAAACGATATGCGTTGATTAGCATATTACTCTTAGTATGTGAGAATTAAACGAAAACATTGCCAGGGCTTAATATCTTCCATTTAACATTGCCAAGACAGATGAAGTTAACAAAATTTAAATATAATTGTAAGTATTTCCTAAATATAACTATTTTGCAATTTCAGAAACAACTATTTTAATCGCTCTTATCTAACCTTTTCCATCCATGCTCCTTTGCCGCCAGTGCAATTTACTGAGCAAAGTTATAGTATCATGTGATAAAATCGCGTCATTGGCACAGAAAGTTTTGGCTCGACATTACAAGTTACAAATCTCAGCAACAATCGGTTGGATATTAATATATTTTTTTTTTCATTGTAATAAGATGACTCAGCTGATGAACAAATATAAGTACTGTTTCTATTTTTGTAGAACAAAAAAGTAATCTTCTGTGCCATTTCTTATTTAGGCATATTCAGACCTGAGACTACTATAACACTATGTTATAGCTCAGTTCAGACTTATCGTGTAAGATGGAACCATCTTTCAGAATATCTATTTCAAATGGTTACATCCAAATAATTTCACAAATTTGTCTTTATCGTCACACCCCGGCCAAAACGTACCAATAACGTCAAAAACAGAAAAAAATACCATTAACTTGGCATGATTTATTAACGTTATTAGTCGCAAAGTACCTCCATTGCGACCCACATTAAAGATTAAACATTGCACGGTTCTAAGTATAAACTACAAGTCTGAAATCTTTACTCTAGATTGAATTGAATCGGTTTCAGACAACGAATGTGTACGTTTTTCTCTGTCACCCTTCTTCCAGCTGGAGTGTACAGTCCCGTCAATATACATGTTATGCCAACTCGTTATGTATGTCAAAAAATCATCATATCTTTTTATTTAGAAAGTATCGACCTTTAAAAAAAATGCGGTTTGACTAGAAAATTTTATATCAAGAATATATTGTTGTTATATCTTTTTTACTGTTGCTTGCAAAAATTCACGTACTCCAGCCCTATTTCATCTTAATTTCAACTGGAATCATAACCTATGTTTAAGTCCATAATTTTTAAAGATTGTTTTGCCATATCTCAAAACCATAAAAAATTCAATTCGATGTAAAACTGTCGCATATTAAAATAATGCTAATGTAAATGAAATTACACTCAATAAATTTTGTCCGAAGCGCTTTTCTGTATATACATGCACCTTCCATGACAAGAACCCTGAAACCCCAACATTTGGGACACAGGAATGTATAAACAACATAGCTATATATGACAAAAAGGGATTTAAAAAGAAATCAATGAACAAATACACCTAAGGTCAACTTTGCCTGGGGAAAATGGAACCTTATATTATTTCGATAAGTTAATTAATTTCAATGTGAAAATAAGTCTATAATCTGAAACTGAAACTAATCAAGTTTTAAAAAATATTATTGCATTTAAAGCTGAGGTGACTATTACACAATGTGTAATAGAAGTTTCAGATCAAGAGTGACTAATAACAATTGAATCCCTATAAATGGTCCACAGAAGAGCTGCCAGATTTGCAACCTAAACATACAACAGACAACCAGTGACAGTGACGAATGATCGCGCAAACTCTAGGATGGCAGACTTTAGAATTAAGGCAGATAACCATTAGACTAACCATAGTCTTCAAAGCAACGCACTGAAAGGAAGCAGTCAACATATGCAAGAGAAATTCACCAAGATCAGTACCTCCACAGATGCCTACAAGTACAGCTATATACCACACACCATCACCGACCGGACCAACATCCCTACTGAAGCCTTCCAAGTTACATCACAGGATCAATGCTTCAAGGAACACATATACGGAGACTGCAGCTGTAAACAGAAACCACCTGCTTGTAATCCTATTTTACTTGCACATGTAAATATACTGAGCACCCACATTGACTTTGTAAAGGGTTATGGATTTCCACTGCTGATAAACAGTATGGATGTGAATAATGACAATTTTTATTTTGTGGAAATACAGCAAAAAGAGACTGGCTCTAACTTGTACTTTTAGCATTTTGCTTATGCATCACTAAAAAGATGACGCCTGAAAAAGTACACCAATCCAACTTTCAAAGGGTTAAATTGCATACTAGTATCAACAAACACCAAAACAGTGATCAATGAACACTTATGATCAATCAATTTGTTATAATTCTATAATAATAAGATAAGTTTAATCTAATCTTATCGCACTGAACACGTCTTTTAAGTTTAAGCCATTTTTTTCAAAAGATAAAATAAATCGATAATCCTTATTCTATAATATACACTCAAAGAGTATCGTTTTCGAGGTAACTAAACTGGTTTTCGTTTGTTCGTTATAAATCACTGATAAAATATTGAAGCCATGATTTTTTTTAAATAGAAACAACAAGAGCCTGATTCGCTTACCTGGTTAAAATATCTCATTTTGATATTTATTTTACTTTTATTGCAATCAGCTTGCATATATGTAAATCATGTGTAGTGGCATATTTGTAGATTTGGTGTAGTTGAATCTTTTTTGCTGTTTCCATTTTATAGCTTTCTATTGCAGTTTTCGAATTTATTGGCAAAATTATAGAAATTAGTAAAAACAAATCGTCATTTAAAGGCAATACATCATATAAGGATTCTGATCTATTGGTCATGTTGACTTACTCGTAAATCTTATTTTGCTTATCCCTTTTGCTTTTAAAATGTTGTTTCTATCTTCTATGATTTTTAACAAATGCAAAGAAAAAGAGGGAAAAGTCATCACTCGGGGAAAATCACTCCTTTAAACAGTCGGTTGAAAGTTATCGCCATGTTGACTTATTTGAAGATCTTATTGTGCTGAACTCTTTCTGCTATTCTTTGTTCTTCTCTATCTATCATATTTTCTGCAAAATACGCAAAAACTGGTAAAAACATCTTTAAAGAACAATAACTCCAATAAGGGGTCAATTGAAAATGCTTACTTGTTTGTTGATCTATTTTTGAAGAGAATTTTTGCTATATACAGTTTCTCTTTAAAAATACATTTAAGGGACAATATTTTTATTATTAAATCCAAAATAGGTTTCCGATTTTTTTGGAAAATTTCATATGAGATAGACCTTGACCTGTTGGGTATTTTTACCATGTGAGTAGAGTTTATGCATATCTATCTATATATAGATAAGTACGTCTAAACAAGTGACAACTCTACGACAGATCCATCGATTGGAACACCAGTTAAGGTGATACACGGCTGAAAGCACATGTTATATTCATAATTACTCTAAATATCAGCACAACAATGTAAAATCTGCAAATTTGCGGAAGCAAATTTTTGTTCTTCTCTCACCGGGATTTGAGATATCGAGACAACACCGCCTGCACTGTGTCCAGCGCTCTAGACCACTCGGCCACCTAGACTGAAATTAAAATTCAGCTTTCGGTGGCCTAGTGTTACCTGTCCTCGTCAGTAGAATCTAGAGATGTAACACAGTACATGATATATTAGGCATGAAGATGGAATTGATTGCAGATTAGCTAAATTATCTATCGTAGAGGATCGTAAGATGCAGTCACAGAAATAATTATTTGATAAGTACGTCTAAACAAGTGACAACTCTACGACAGATCCATCGATTGGATCACCAGTGAAGGTGATTCACGGCTGAAAACATATATTATATTCATAATTACTCTAAATATCAGCACAACAATGTTAAATCTGCAAATTTGCGAAGCAAATTTTTGTTCTTCCCTCGGAGGGATTCGAACTCATGCTATTGGGATATCGAGACAACACAGCCTGCCCTGTGTCCAGCGCTATCATATATATATATATATACAAGTCAAAAACTGCTTTGACCCCTATTTTTTATTAATGGCCATGTTTGTTGATGCATCAACTCCCTGGATACAATTTTTATACTAGAGTAAATAAGGAACATTCAGGTAAAGTTTGGATACATTTTGCCTTGAGAAATTTCGGAGGATTTTTTATTACGTCTAAGACGACGGACGGACGGCGGACGACGGACGGACAACGGACGAAAAGTGATGGCAAAAGCTTACATGGCGTTTTACGTCAGGTGAGCTAAAAATGTAAAGTTCAAATTTTTCAAACAAAAACTTCAACGAAAAGGTATAATTAATCCACTGAAGATAAATAATTTGTAAAGACGGATAAGATCGTTAATCTTGCCAAATAATCATTAAATGTTTTAACAACACACTAATCCGAGGCTACCCGATGAACATCCGTTTAATGAACTATATCTTTAATAAACTGTTGTCTCGCCTATCTGTATAAAACTCAGAAAAAGACAATCTGATGGACAGCAATATTGATTATTTATTCAGTCACTGGACCATGATCTAGTGGGCAGGGCATGAAAATGGTCGACAAACTGAGATGTACAGACAGTAATGTAACTTTATAGAAAATATCGTTGTTTATTGTAAATAGTTCCTATCAATATAACTTGAGCAGAAAACTTAACATTGAAAATTGCTAATTAATTCAAAGTCACTGGACCATGACAACGGGGGCACAGGGCCTCGAAAAAGTCTTCAAACTGATATGGACTGATAGAAATGCAAGTTCATACAAAATATCATTGATCTATCACAAGTAGATCCTATCAAACTAACTTAAGCAGAAACACTAACATTGAAAATTGCGTATTAATTCAAAGTCACTGGACCATGTCCTAGGGGACAGGGCCTCAAAATAGTCGTCAAACAATTAACTGATACTGATAGTAATGCGACTTCATACAAAATATCATTGATCTATCACAAGTAGATCCTATCAAACTAACTTAAGCAGAAACCCTAACATTGAAAATTGCTTATTAATTCAAAGTCACTGGACCATGTCCTAGGTGGCAGGGCCTCAAAATAGAAGTCAAACTGATATGCACTGATAGTAATGCAACTTCATAGTAAATATCAATGATCTATCACAAGTAGTTCCTATCAACTTAACTTAAGCAGAAAACTTAACAATTGTTGACGCCGGAGCCGGAGCCGTCGTCGTCGCCGGAAAAGCAATCCATATGTCTCGCTTTCCGCGACTTTCGTCGCAAGCGAGACAAAAATGAATATGAATCACTCCTTTACTGTCTGAAAAATGTACAGTTAAATTTGGCCACCGTTTTAGATGGCAATTATTCCTTGGCTTAATCCATGATTTTAAGGGAAAAAAGATAACACTTTATAAATTTGTTGCGCCCGAATCGCTTTTCTAGATTTACCTTCACCTTGAACGCTCAGTTTTCGATATATAAATAAATCACGTGTAAATTCAGCGCATGACTTTCACTGCATGTTTGACAATACTTATTATGTACCATTGTCAAATTTAGAGGGATACCATCCATAATTTATGAAAAATCGATATCTTGAGTGTAAAAACTAGCCGATCCTAGATTCCGTCGTCAGCGTTGGCGTCGGTGGCATCAACATTTCGGTTCAGTCTGTGGTTAAAGTTTTTTAGACATCAATAACTTTGTCAAACCTTCATGGATTTTTTGGGAAATTTGGACAGAAGCGTGTTTATGACTAAAAATACAGTATCCAGAGCAAAATTTTATTTTTTCCGTATTTTACTGATAAATGGAATTAGCTTTTTTTTACCGTTAACATTCCGATTAGTTTGAGGTTAAAAGTATTTCAGTCATCAATAACTTTGTCAAACCTTCATGGAATTTTAGAAAATTTGGACAGAAGCTTGTTAATGACCAAAATATAGTATGCAGAACAAAAAAAATTGAAAATATTCATTTTCATTTTTCCGTATTTTACTGATAAATAGATTTAGTTTTTTTTTTAAAGTTAACAAGCAGATACAGTCTTGGGTTAAAGTTTGTTACACATTAATTACTTTGTCAAACCTTCATAGAATTTGATGAAACTTTGGCAGAAGCTTTTTTATGATTAAGAGGTAATGTTTGAAGCAAACATATTTTCAATTTCAGTATTTTTCTGATAGATGGACTTAGTTTTTTACAGTTTTAAACATTTACAGACAGTCCGGGATTACATTTTTTTGATATGATAAATTTGTAAAGATTCATGGATTGTTATGAAGCATGGACAGAAGATAATCTTCAGGACCAAGAAATAGCATCTAAAGAAAAAGTTTGAATTTTTTTTTAAATTCTGTATTTTTCCGATAAATGGACTCATTTTTTATGTCAACATTACACTTTTACTAACCTAGCCTAAACGTTTCAACCCTGTGGTCTGGTAATCTGTTTTTCTGGAAAGCATTGATACCAGTACTTTAGTCATACAGAACATGATTTATTTATTAATTGTAATCTGCTTTTAACTAGATTTCAGTAAAGATAGATAATATATTTTATTGAAGTGTCACCATCCATATCAATATCTATATCAACAGAAAGTCATAAGAACCTAACATTAAGTAAAAGAGTGCAAGCCTAAAACGACTTATGAGATACTACCATAACTCGTAACTACGTGTACTCTTAGATCGGTATTTTGTGTCTTTAGTCTTTATGTCAATTGTTTTCTTGTGCTTCATACCACTCTGGATTCAATCCATTTCCAACTGATTTTTACACTTTGTTATTATGTTGTGCTGTTACACTACCGTCCAAGGTTATGCACATAGAAAAGGCTTGTACGTATACCAGTTGTATATGACATCGCTACGACACTTAGAAAAGGCTTGTATCAGTGGTATATGACATCGGTTAGGCACTCAGAAAAGATGGTATACTAGTATGACATCGCTTAGGCAATCAGAAAAGGTGGTATATGACAACGCTTAAGGACTCAGAAAAGGCTTATATTATCAGTGGCATATGACATCGCTTAGGCACTGAAAAAAGGACTGTATCGGTATCATATGACACCACTAGGGCACTTAGAAAGGGCTGGTATCAGTGGCTTATGACATCGCTTAGGCATTTGAAAAGGCTTTTATCAGTGGCATATGACATCGCTAGGGCACTTAGAAAAGGCATTAATCAGTGATATATGACATCGCTTAGGCACTGAAAAAAGGAATGTATCTGTATCTTATGACATCGCTAGGGCACTTAGAAAGGGCTGGTATCAGTGGCATATGACATCGATTAGGCATTTGAAGTAAATTTATTTGTCTTTCATTTTGAGAAAACAGACGTTTCAGTAGATTGATCATTTAACATCAGAGACATGACCGAAGTATTTAATGTACAAATAGTTTTAATACAAAATTTAGGGAATCTGCTGAAACAAAAACTAAGCGAAATCATGCAAAAACTTAACACAACTAAAAATCTAAAACAAATAAATATCAAAAGAGATATCTTAGGACAACTTTGAATTTCTGATCGCCGAAAACATAATAAAGGAGGAAGAAGATCATAACTTGGTAAATATTTTTTTGTAATGTATTTGTTTAGTCTGTGAATCGGTTTCCTATATGAGATATAGTTCTAAGATTAAAGGAAAACATAAATTGATATGCTATAAACTAATTATTGTTATGTTGTCTCCTGTCATAAGTCAATTCTACATGCAAGCACAGTGTGATTTTGGACAAAATGTCGATTTGGAGAACATGTTCTGACAGACAAGTACGACATCTTGTTGACTTGTATTTGGAGCACATGTTCTGACAGACAAGTACGACATCTTGTTGACTTGTATCTTTTGCTGTACATTGTTTGGCGTTCATTGGAGTGGGAGCCACCGTGCCTTGGCATCCACCAGCTCCATCACCAACACCATTCGCGGTAGTGGCTTTGGTTGTGGCAGCTGGTCGGGCGGTAGGTGCCGGTTACTCACAATTTCTATGTCAACACATTCCTGTTTTACTGCACATCCCTTGCATCCTTTACCGGTAACAGGGTCGATACCCCAGTTGTTTCCTGAAAAGATAGCGTACCAATTAAAACACACGTTAACATAACATTCGTTATTCAGTTTACCAGCACTCAATCATGTTAACGTTTTTTAGTTGATCATACATGTACGATTGTTTCAGTAACGAACTTAAATTTCTATTTTATAAAATAAAATATACACTATTTTGGACGTCATCACCATTGTTAATATTTTACCTAACTTGAAGATCGAAGATTACCTAGCTATATCACTGGGTATAGCAATATGATTGACGAAGTATTGGTTCCCGTCCATGCATAAACTGTTTGCCAATGAACGTTAAGCAAACAACAATCAATCATATAAAAATGTGAATACAAATAGGGAACGATAGCAATATAATAGTGCGTTAACTGGTTTTTTTTTGACAGACATGTGTGATATCCATGATCTATTTATCACTGATTACACATGTGATCACATATCATCTAGGATAACTGTTAATTGTATATACCTCCTTTCCAATACCATCTAAGAACACATCATGTACAGTGCACATCGTCTGGTAGATGTAGTTGGAGAGTTTTCAGAGTCACATGACCAGGGAGGTCCCATTCTTATCCAGTGAACCCATTGTCTGGATCTGTGATGGTTAGTGGATGTTCTGACAGACATTCTTCTGTTATTTTCTTGAAAAAGTCGTTGTTTACACATAAACTAAAGTTAAAGAATCCAAGATGGTTGGCAGTGATTTTGATTGTGACATCGATAGTCTGACCTTGAGTGTAAGTTGCCGTGACAGCACCAGTAGCAAATTTACCACCAGCCATGTTATTTTCAACTCCACCATAAGCATCGCCACAGACACCACATACACCTCCACTGGAGTCCCATTGATGCTAAATAAACAAAAGTTCAAGGTAATGATTTCTGTGGATGATCTATCACCACATTTTGACTAGATCAAGTTGACAATGAAATATGATTTATCTGTATCAAGTGTTACCAAAATGGCAGACCTGTTAATATAAATAAGAAGATGTGGTATAAGTGCCAGTGAGACAACTCTCCATCCAAGTCACAATGTGTAAAAAGTCAACAATTATATAGGTCAAAAATCGGCCTATCAGACGGAGCCTTGGCTCACACCGAACAGCAAGCTATAAAGGGCCCCAAAATGACTAGTGTAAAACAATTCAAACGGGAAAGCCAACGGTCTAATCTATATAAAAAACGTACACAGGTAAATTTAAATATAATAATTTTGTTGTTAGGAGTACGAAAACATTTTTTACAAAATGGATAAATTTGTTGTTCACAGTACGAGTACAGAAGTGAAAATCTATCGTCATACTAAATACTTATCAAAGGTGGTAAGCCTGATGGTACGTATACATCTGGTAAAGAGGTATAGAGCTATGCTTAAAATCAGAACTTCCTGTTCTGGACGATACTTTCCACACTAGTAGTATAAAGAACGATGAATATGAGGGTTTATGGGTTTATAGGCAATGCTTACGGCTATAGAAATTACATATTTACCAAACGATGGAATTGATCAGCCAGTAACCGTTATACACACTTGAAAACTGCTCAAAGTCAACCTATCATGGGTAGGAAATTTAAGTGATTTTTTACATTAACGTTTTATTATTTTGTAAGATGCGTCAGGTTTAAAATTTTAATATTTTAGGAATCGAGTTTTTAGATGCAAGGTTTTATGCGCTGTAAATTTCCTTCCGGTTTTTGTCAAGGTTTATGCCCACGTATTCATGAATAAGCAAAGAAATGCAACTTGATTATGTTTTTATTTCAGAATCCTTTGGCTTGAGCCGCAACGCGGAAACACGTGTCATTCAAGATGAAACCAGCATTTTTTTTAGATATAATGACCGTTTTATAATAAGGACTTAAGTAAACATTATCAAGTGGAGTACAAAAATAAACCAAATCAAAATCTATTTTCATTTTTAAAATAAACGATGATACTGATTTTCATACTTTTTGATACCTTGAATTAATGTTTAACAATAATTCAAGGTATCAGAACCTACTATAAAATTTGCTTCGTAATATCAATACAGATTGTGGTTATTGGACAATTGAATCGTATTCGGAAATGTAGAAAATTCCAAGAAGTTGCTTAGTGTTAAGAGGAAAGAAAGCCCTCTGAAATTGATGCAATCTTATGATAAATGTGTTAACTCATCAAAATACTAGTAGGTAAAAGTCTGAGAATATTTAAAAGCCAAAGAGACGACTACTGTTTCCAAACAGACTTAGGACAGGCACAAAAAGAATGTGGCGCGGTTAAACATTTTTGTGAGCGCTCACCTGAGACAATGGTGTTACAGCACAACATAAGAACAAACTATAGAAATTAGTTGAATAATGGCTGAACTCATCAGATCGATACAAAGCTGAAAAACATCTAACAAAAACACAGACCGGAAGTGGCAGGGTATTTATACATCCCTAACAACAAACGACACACACTAAAGGTATGAGAGTACTCGCAGTTACTGACAGCTAGTTCAAAGCCAATAACAACTAATAAAAGAAATCATGTATCTAAGGCAAATATATCAATCAGTACACATCCAACATCCAATGGATTTAGTGTAAAGACGTCATTAACAGTCATGCAGAGAAAAACATAACTTTGTGCATTGCCAATATACAGGTATCGACAGATTGTAGTACCGTGAAAGCGCATATGTGTATAACAATACTATTTAGTATGGTTTAATTTACTAGTAACAAAATCCGAATATTCATACCAATAAAACAATATTCAAAGATCTAATTACAGTGTTGAATTGGTAACCTTTTATAACAAGTTTATTGAAAGGATTAATAAGTTTACCCGGATCGTATATAAATTTCCGGGCTCAGTAAACAACATCACCGTAAAATTAAGGAAATGGTATTCAGTCTGAAATACTGTTCAAATCACGGTAAAGTAATGCATCAAATAAAACTGTGCTGAATAAAAGCGAAACAGGTTTCGTGATTAATAATTTGACCAAGACAATACAGGATGTGTATATTGCCTCAGGCTCTTTTCTCTTTTCTTATTAATGACCTCGTTAGTATGTTTGAAACGATCCCCACAGCTTTAGTAAACTGTTTATTATTTGCTTACAGTGTAAGTATGAAGAGACACGGATTTGACTGTTAAATATATCAACTTTTACATAAAATTAAACCAAACAAATCCAATGTAAAGATAGATAATTCTATTATGAAGTGTTTTATCCCATGCATATTGACATTTCTTTTTCGCATACCGATTAAATGAAAAACTCACCGAAATCCCTCCACAGTTCATTCCTTGGAGTGTGGTGTATCCCGCGGCATAAGCCCTGTAAGGAGGGTCCATTAGAAAACCATGTCCATGTATGGACATAACCTTTACAACCAGCAACAAAAGTACAGCTTTCATCTCGGTTTAAAAAAAACTATGAACTAAACTTTGATAAAAATTTTCAATTTCATGCTATCCTGGTGATAATGTTCCCAATTTTGTGGGTGTTTTGCGTGTTTTGTAAAACTAGTATTACAATGTTTAATTATTTTATTAAAGGGAAATACAATATCACCTTTGTTGGGTAAAAAAACGTTTTATCAAAAACTATTTGATTTTCACACTTTTAACTATCAGTCACGCATTATGGTTCAAATGATTTCACCCATGAATCATGAGAAACATGAAGGCGTGAGACTGAACAATGTTTGAAAAATGGTGGTCATAAACTATTATATTTCGGTCTTCTAAATCGTAAATTGCCGAACATCATGCACCATAATGCAAAAAATTTTGTACAGATGACGAAACCTAAAACATCAGATATAAAATCTGATTGAAACACCCCTTTTATGATATGTTTTTTTTAGGGATGCAGTGATCGATAAAACTAAGTGGGATTCTGGTTTCTGATGACAAGAATGATCAACTTTCCAAAATTATGTCTTCAATGTTTGCAAAGTTCGCAAACAAGAGCTATTGACTCTATGAACAATAGAAAATGTTACAAACAAGAGCCTGAATCGCTCACCTTGTAAAAAATATGCCATTTTGATATTTATTTTTGCTCTTTATTGCAATCATATATGTTTGCTTATTTATAGATCGTATTTTGTGCTATTTTTGTTGTCTTGTATTAAAGATTATGTTTGCTGTTTTCACTTTATACCTATTTATCAAAGTATTTGAGTAAAAAAAAATTATTTGATGGAAAAATCGTCTTTCAAAGGCAAAAACATTAACTCTGCTCAGGGATCAATTGACGATTTAAACCATGTTGACTTATTTGTAAATCTTATTTTGCTGAATAGTTTTGCTATACAGTGTTGCTCCCCATCTATCTTTGTTTCTGCTAATAAAATAAACAGCTGCGCCATGAGCGCATGATACGCCTGTCGCTTTTTCAAAGAATAAAGTTTAATAATTTCTCAATGTCATATCAGAAATTTAAAAAACAACTAAAGGGAGGTTATCTTAATAGATATAATCCAGTCACCAAAGTTTCACGAAAACTGTTCATAGCACTTTAAAGATATTGTCTGAAAACTGGAAAATCACCCTTTTTATGAATAAAATCACATAACGTAAGATCTAAATTTTATAAAAAAAAACAAAAGGGAGCTCACGTCAATAGATATAAACAATTCACCAAAGTGTCATGCAAATTGGTTAAAGCGTTTTTGAGTTATTGTCCGACATGTGGACGACGGACGGACGGACGGACGTAAACGGGCGTATAAAAATCATAAATAGGGTAAAATTATCATTCAGGGGGCAGTGCTTATTTAAAGTTCATGTTGACTCTTTGGCTAAAATGGCTGTTTTTTCACCTCAAAATCCACACTGAGTACAGACAAACATGTGTATCTGGACAAGATTAAAGGCATAGTCTCATTGGCACTCATACCACATCTTCTTATATCTATAGCATGCCCTAGATAAATAAAATTCAAATGCATTTTATGTTTTAAGAAAACTAAAAACTTACCTGGTTTTTGCAACTGTACTTTTTTCGGATATATAAAGTATGATTGCATGATAGGCTGTTAATCTTACCAGGTTAACTCACTCCACAAGTGAATTTGTCTTATTTACTGGTAACAAACATCAGAGAATCCATCTACTACATCTTTACAATGGTTTCTGTCAAAAATAGATAAAAACAATCTTTCAAGGGCAATAACTCCTATAAGCGATCAATTGACAATTTCAGCCCAGTAAACTTATTAGAAGATCTTCTTTTTCTGAAACTCTTTCTCTCCTTCTATTATAGTTTCTTCGAAAAACGCATAAAATGAGAACAATTTGGTCAAGGACAAAAACTAAAAAAAAAAAAAAATGGGTGATCCGAATTTTCTGAAAATTCCACAGCAGATATACCGGCTTGAAATGCTGATCATTTTTTCCCGGATACAATTTTATATCTAGACACCATAAGGAACATTCGGGTAAATTTGTGTAACATTTAGCCAAGTCGTTTTAGAGATGAAGAGATTTTTAAAAGTTTACGACGACTGACGGACGGACGGAGGAACTACTCATAGGGACTGACTACAGGTAGATATATATAGCCCGTTAATAGTCTATGTGCATTATAAAAAAACCCATATACCCTATATACACCAACAATTAACCAATCTTACTAAGTATCAATATGTATAATTGAGGAAAAAAGCATGCGCGATGTTTCCCTAGGTTTTCATATACGTTAACTATAATGACTACACATTAATAACGAGTGACTGGATAAAATGCGGAATGATCACGTGTGCGGTTTATACGGAGTTTCGGCTATTTATAGAATAATGTCCCTGTGTACCGATATGCATGATTGATCACGATGCAACTTTAATAACTAAAATCAAAGTACTGAAGTATTGAACATCGGATGACCGCAAGTTCTTGTGGATGGTCACAAGCACTTGTCTCAGAAAAAAAAATCACATCTCTATACCTGAAAGTGAGGTTAATGTACAGATATATTTTTTTCTGAGACAAATTCGTGCGTGGATGATGAATAACTGACATGGAATTCAACCTCACCGAAATAACTATTATATTGTAGTGATACAAATCAGTATACTCTGGTTTGTTGTTATATATTATATTAATATTTGTATATAACAGTTACATGTATATATTATTTTCATCCATTTGTATATCATTCTATTCTACTATTCTATTAATAGTGCAGCGCAAGTGCATGGTGGACACTCTGTAATTATTCGATTTTTCTAATAGATTGGATTTGAGTAGGCATTCATATTTTCCCGCAAAATGTTCTTGAGATATTCTTCCGCATGCGTTAACACAATTTTTCTGTACGTGTGCATAGATATTAATGATTTTTTACTTATGTATATATATTACATTATTAATTTATGTTCTAGAAAAAATATTTTTATGAGTATTCATTGAAGAAATGAATTTATAACAAGCGATAAGGAATGTTATTTTGCACTCGATAATGTCCGCGTATTTATAGATCGGTTACCAGTCAAAAACGAAAGTAACGTAAGTAGAAATTTCTGTGGTAACAATACATCGGAATGCCTACACGGTCATCCCGATGTAATGAAGAGTTCAAACCATTGAAGGACATTTACTAGGTTTCAAATTGCCCCAACCAATCAACAGACTTTTACTATGAAAGAGCCAATCAGGTAGTAAGAAAGCATTCAGTCCGAAGACTATCCATCGTTCAAGTATATGTAAGAGAATGATAAGACCGTAATGTGGATCTTCCCGAACCTGTTGATGGACATGATAGAAGGACAATGAATATTGAAACAACAACTTATGAGTTAAACTGCTTGAATAACTGACCGTATCAAATGAAATCCAGGTGTTTGTTTATGTAATAGCCTTCACGGTAGGTATAGTGTCCGGCTAATATCGTGTTTTTTTTTTCGAGTGATCTGATCGGTTTTTTTTTCGAGTGTGACCACGTTTTTTCGAGTGAATATGATCAAAAATGTAAACAAACAGACTTCCTTTCTGGTTAGACGTAAAAAAGATGGTAGAACCTTATATTTAACATCATATAAGGTAAATTAGTATTCGTAATAAAAATATATTATCGACCCTACATTATTTTGTTTTAAAAGCGTTTAAAAAGTTAAATCACAAAAATACTGAACTCCGAGGAAAATTCAAAACGAAAAGTCCCTAATCAAATGGCAAAATCAAAAGCACAAACACATCAAACGAATGGACAACAACTGTCATATTCCTGACTTGGTACAGGCATTTTCTGATGTAGAAAATGGTGGATTGAACCTGGTTTTAAAGCTAGCTAAACCTCTCATGTGTATGACAGTCGCATCAAATTCCATTATATTGACAACGATGCGTGAATAAAACAAACAGACATAATAGGTAAAAATGTCAAAATAGGGGTACAGCAGTCAACACCGTGTCACAATCTTAATCGCAACAAAAACAAACAAATATTTAACAGAGAAGCAAAAAAAAAAGCATATATCACATTTAACAACCTCGTTCATTAATTTAGCCTTACAATGCTGTTTTCCAAAATATAGATTAAAGCCATTTTTATACACACACCAATGCAAATGTCAACGGAATTGCATACATAGAATCTATATATACTTAGATATACAGACACTTTACATGAATTCTTGTTTTTGCTTTGAAAAGGACATTTTAGCGAGTAAATTCATTTTTATAATTATGTCCGTGATTTTTCGAGAGCAGTACGTGTTTTTTCGAGTGCATCCTTGTTTTATTGAGTGAAGAAAAACAAAATTCCTATGGCTTAAAATGTAGTGCCGGGTATGTCAGTTCATTTACGTTTAAAAAAACAATGTGAAAAGGTTCAAATAAAGTTCTTTTCAAAGCACAAAACAATGCATTAAACGAGTTTGATAATTCTGTATTAACACGTACATTTCATAAAAATGCATCGTTCATTTGTATTCAGATATCTTCATGTTAGTGTACCGCTATGGTTTTTATACAGTAAATATTTCGTGATGTAAACAATCTTTATGTGAGCTCAGACATGTTGGATTGAGAAATACGTTCACATAGTGTGTAAAGCGGGTAAATGTGTTTTTTTTAAACAGAAAATACATCCTAAATGTTTCATTTACTGTTTGTCTTGATGATAATATGTTTTATCGTTCTAGAAATGGAAACCAAGAACAATGTTCAAATGCTTCTACTGTGAATAGGAGTCTGATCAAGCGATGCTATACTTGGTCACATAGAAATAAAGCACTATCATAACTTCATTTCCATTAGAAATTAAAAGCATTATATTTGTGAAGTTTACGCATATTAAACACACACATTTTTTTTTTATCATTTTCAAAAGGATCGTATTAAAACTTACAGATTATTTATTTCGTTGTCGGATAAGTCCCCGAGTTTATCGTCAGTTCAGTAGTCAGTACTTCGGTTCTGACATGATTTATAATAAACCTTTGTAAAATTATTTACCTCCAAGGGAACTGGGAAATAGAAATATGGTCATTTA